AAATGCAGATTTCCAGGCCCCATACTGGAACAAGAATCTATATTCTCAGTAAGTGCCTTAAGTTTCAAGTTCTGCTAGAGTAAAGACTGAGTTTTCTTTCACTGGTGTATCTTTAAGTACTCCATTCATTCACTGAGTATCTCCAAAGTCTTCTTTCAATGTAAAGTACTCTGTAGATTACCCTAGATCACCTCAAAAATAGCAGAAAATGAAATTCCTGCAATAGTTACAAAGGCATGAAAAACTGTATCCTTAAAATATCAAGCATATATGAGTTAAAATATAGAAACACATAATACAAAAAAGCTGTTCTCTTGCAAATGCTAACTCCCACTTTGCAATTCTGGCCACATGTCTCTTGTTCTATGTGCCTGCCTTCTGCTAGAGGAAGGAAAGACTAGGAAGAAGAAAATGCCTTGGCAAGTGGAAAGAAGGAAAAAAAACTATTTAAAAAAATTTCTACAAAATACATGCTCTAACCTCAAGAGGAATGAGCAGGTTTGTACTCTTTCTGCTAGTCAAAAAGTCCTCCCTGCATCCAGATTTTACTTCTTTCACCTCTTTCTATTTTTCCACTGCTCTCTCTCTCTCTCTCTCTCTCTCTCTCTCTCTCTCTCTCTCTCTCTCTCTGTGTGTGTGTGTGTGTGTGTGTGTGTGTGTGTGTGTGTGTGTGTGTGTCACGGGGAGAGAGGAAGGCTGAAAGACATGAAGTGATGCAAGAATAAGAAAGAGTAGGAGCAGGGATTCCTGGGCTCCACTCTGCTAACCTCACAGGTCCACTCAGTGTGTCAAGGACACCCTCCCAGACGTAGCAGTTGGTACAAAGCCAGTTGTTTATCATAAGCAGCAGCTCAGCTACAACAGTAGCTGGAAATGACAGGAAGAAGTTCAACGAGGACAGAAGGAGTGCTGGAGTCTCCTCCATAATGGCCCATGTTGCCCAGTGATGTCACCTTTGAGAAGGTCATCAGTGTGACAGTCACCAATGCTAAAGGGGAAGAATCTTCAATGAAATGAACATGGGGGCCACTGTCACCATGGTCAGCTACTGTACTTCAGTGACCTCTGCACTGCATGAACGGCCTGGAACAACTTCTTCTCCCACCACTACTTAGGTTGCAGGCTTTCCCCATCTCTAATATCCACAGATCCCTACTCCTCTCCCCATACCATTCATGGTAACCGTGACAGTAATGGATGGCCTTGCAATCCCTTCCCTAACTGCCAGCTCTGTTCTCAGCCTGTCCCCTGTTGAAGATTCTTTGGACCCCAAGGCTTCATAAAGAAGTATGATGACAGGGGTATGAATATTTATGTTTTTTTATAACTGTTAAGAGGCAAAGACGGTATGCAGTGGAGTTTATGGTGACACATACATTTTATTTTTATTGTTGTTTGTTTTGTTTTGTTTTGCTTGGTTGGTTTTTTGAGACAGGGTTTCTCTGTGTAGCTCTGTAGACCAGGCTGGCCTCTAACTCACAGAGATCCACCTGCCTCTGCCTCTGGAGTGCTGGGATTAAGGATGTATGCCACCACTGCCCGGCTGACAGGTACATTTTAGTAACACATTCCAGAGGGACTATTGTCCGTGAAGCTACCATTGCCCATAACAGTCCACCTGGTCCCAGATGGTATCCCAGTGAAAGCTTCACTAAAGCCATTTTATAACAGAAAAGAAAGAAAAAAAGAGCAAGCAAGCAATGATGAAACTCAAGCAACTACACCATTTGAACCTGTTTGACAAAATTGCTGCAACAAAGGCCACAGTGATGGCCAACACTAATTGTCAACTGGACAAAATCCAGAGTTATCTGACAAATGGGCTTTAGGAATGTTTGCTGGGGTTATTGTGACTAGGTTAACTGAGGAATGGCGCCATTCCCTGGGCAAGGTTTCTTGGATCTTGTAAGGGAAAGAAGGGGAGCTGGGTAGTAGCAGCATAGACTAATTCAGTGCAGTATGACCAGTTGTCTCAAGCTCCTATGTGACTGTGACTTCTCCCAAAGTGAAGAACTGTAACCTCAGAGCTAAAATAACCCCACACACAAACTTAACTTGCTTTTGTCAGAGTATTTTATCACAGAAGCAGTGAGGAAACCATGATAACCACATGTAGTGCATTCCTTAAAATAGAGAAGGGCAAGAGAGCAATTATGAGAGACAAATAACCAGGAAAGGGCACCAAGCCCATGCTGTTAAGTCACTGCACTATATATGGCAAAAATGTGACAACTTAAAATAGCCCACTTGTAAACGCTGAGTTAAATATAGGACCTGCTAAAGGAACACTGCAAATAGCATCATGTCAGTCACTGATATGTCTGTCAGTTTCAACAGCAGCAAGGAAATACCACCTACACCCTGTGTTTCATGGAACTGCCATGCTACTGGTTTTTCCACATTGCTTCTGAGCAAATACATGACCAAATGAGCCTCGGCTGCCCTATCCACAGTTTCACAAGGCCCTGCAGCCTGCAAGGTCAAGACTGCAGGCCCTCTTAGACATGCTTGTCCTCTTACCCGTCCTCTATGGCTGTGACACAAAAAGCAGCCTTGGTTAGAATAAGAAGACGAGGGGTGTTACCTCAGTGGTAGAGCACTTGCCTAGTGTGTGAGAGTCCCTGGGTTAGATCTATAGCACCACAGCAAAAGAAGAAAGAGAAGGGGAAGGGGAGGACAGAGGGAGAGAGAGGAGGAAAAAGAAGCTCCTTCCACATTGTTAAAGACCAATGAGTCAAGTATTTCCACACTTTGTTTACAAACAGATAACAATTCATGTTGCTACTCTGAAAAAAATGAATTTATCTTAAAACTCTTTGATAACACTCAATACTTTCCTTAATTCCAATTCCTAAATACTTCTGTGTTAATTAAAAGAATTGGTTAAATGTTTACAGAGAAGTCCAACAAACTGCCAAGTCCAGAAAAGGGAAAATTCCAGTGCCAGGAACCTTGAAACCTGATGGAGACATGTTGCCTTAGTTATTAGTCTTTTTGCATCAACAAAATGCCTAGCAAATGCAACTTAAAGAACAAAGATTTATTTTTGATACACACTTCACAGGTACAGTTCACTATGGAAAGGAGTTCCAGTGGCTGCAGGCTTGAAGCAGCTGGTCACCTTGCATCCACAGTCAAGAAGCACAGAGTCGTAGATGAGGCTATCATGCAGTAGAACACTTGCCTCATGGGCATGGTTAGATTCAATCCTCAATGCTGAAGAAAAAAATGGGGCAAAAGGGATTATACTCAGTGTGCTTTCTTTTTATTTGTTCTGGAACCCTAAACTACCTTGTGGCTCTGCACACAGCTAGTGAGGGGCCCTCCCATGCCAGCTAACTCAATCCAACAAACACTCATAAATATGCCCAGAAGCTTTCGTCTTTAGCAAATGAGGATTCTGCCATATCATAAGCATACCCCTTACCAATCTGATACTTAACTGTATCTCATAGGCCGGTAACTATCTGTTCTTTGTCCCTGTGCATTTGTGGCCATCTCATAATACAGAATGCATCCATTCCAGCTTCAAACATCTACTCATGCTTTAACAGTTTCAACATCATCTAAAAGTCCAAAGTCTTCTGATACTAAAAACAGTGCCTTAACTGTGAACTTCTATAATGTTTCAAATGAGTTCTACTACACAATGGCTCCAAATAACTGCTCTCATTCCAACATAGACAAATGGGAGCATAGCAAGAAGAGATCAGACCAAATCAACACCAAAACCCAACAGGGCAAACATCAGATCATACAGTTCCATGTCCAGCTTCTGGAGCTCTTGATGGGACATTCTGGGCCCCAAGGGACTTCAGTGTCCCCTTTTCTCCAGCTCTGCTGGCTGCAGCACACATAGCCTTTCTCTTGAGTCAGCTCTATTCCCTATATTAAGTGCCTTTGTCTTCTCCCCAACACTGGGATTACAAGAACATGCCAGCTTTGGTTTGTTTAGTTGTTTGTTTGTTTGTTTGTTTGTTTGTTTGTTTTTTATGTGAATTCTGGGGATTAAACTCAAGTTCTATTAAAAATAAAAACAGCAAACAAAATAGATGCCTGGGCATAATAGCACAAGCATTTAATCCCAGCAATCGAGGCAAGTAGATCTCTGTGGGTTGAGACCATCCTGGTCTACAAAGTGAGTTCCAGAATTGCCATGGCAGTTACAGAGAAAACCTGTCGTGAAAAACATAACAATAACAAAAACGGGGGGGGGGGGAACACTCAGATTCAGAAGTTTATACAGCAAGTACTTTACTAGTTGTGACACCTGCTGGGCTTGCTGCTTCTTAAATACAGTCATCATGGGCACCTTAACTAGAGTTCTAATAGTGTAAAGAAACAGTTGACCAAAGCAACTCTTTTAACGAAAGCATTTAATCAGGGGCTGACTTATAGTTCCATAGTATCAGTCTGTGATCATCACTGTGGGAACATCATCAGGCATGACACTGAAGACTTTACATCATGGTCTGCAGGCAGCAGGCAAACAGAGGGAAGTGCCAAGCCCGATATGGGCTTTTGAATCTTCAAATCCCACCCCCAATGGAACACCTTATGAGGACATACCTACTCCAACAAGGCTATACCTCCCAACCCTTCCTAAACAGTTCACCAGCTGGAGACTAAGCATGAGAATTACCATTCTCATCAAAACCACCATGGTGTCTATGCAAGAAACAGTTTCAGCTAATTAAGGTGGTTTAGGGAAACAAAACAACAATGTGGAGAATGGTATACCACATTTCATCATATCTATCACTGGCTCAAGTGTGGTCAAAGTTACTACAGTATTTGATGAATATGGAGAGTCGGACCACCCCAGACCTCCCACTGGGGACAGAAATTCACACCTGTAGGAAGTCCATGGTGGCAATTACTAAACTGCCTTTGAGTTTCACTGGCTTATTTTAGAGGAACTATTTTTGCCAAGATAGGAAAACATATCTGCTTGGTTTTCCTTTTTAACTTTCTTGCTACCTGATTTTTTTTCTTTTCAGGAGACAACAATGGGTGGTCTCTACAATTCGACAAATACTTTGCTACTTACTACAGACTGACTTCCACGCGTCCCTTGGTGGCAAAAACTTCTGAATGCTGTAAGTAGCCACAGCAGCTGAATCCCCTCTTTGATGAGTTCATGGTAAGATGCCATGCTATTAAATTTTGGATACAACTTTCTTTTTTTTGAAAGCCAATTATAGTTTTCTAGTTGCAGACGTTTTAAGAAAGGAGGCCTTAATTTGGAATTCTGTTTTAAAGTGCATCAGGAATCAATCAAATCAGGTTTTGCAAACAGAATTAGTGTCAGCAGTCGGGGTTACAGTTTTATGCTCTTTTTTGCCATCACCGTAAACTCTTCAGTAAAGGAAAACTAAAAATGCTGGGAGAGCAGAGCAGCTGCTCAGGTCCTAATGTCTATAAGTGAAGAGCATCTGCGGTTGAAGCCACAGATCTCTGAAAGCCCTATCACTGAAGCTGGCTATACACAGTCACCTGCTGAATATTTGCAGATACTGCACGGGGTATGGAAGGAAGAAAGCCTGAACAGTAGTGGTTTCATCATGTTTTAGGTCGGGAATACTTATTAAAATAATTCCTCTTAAATAAATGTTGCCTAGTTAATGAACTATGCAAATATACATGTGTGCTTTGAACCTGTAATTTCCAAAGCTATACTCATAAGCCAAGGGTTAAAGGATGGGAAGACTCTTTTACTATATTCTTTTCCTGTTTGTTCTACCACAAATTTAAAGCTTAGCTTTTCAGATTGTTGATAATTTTTTGTCTTCACTACTCAAATAGGATTAATAGGCAACCAACAATCCCCAATGCTAAGGTATACACATCTCTCCCTTGAGTCTTAGAGGTGCCCAGCAACCTATGGCAGCATCATACCTGCCTCTCAAAAGAAGGGGATCAAATAATTTGATCACTAGAAGGCTAAAAGTTCTACTGGTGGTGTAGCTGCATGGCAGGACACTTGCCTAGCATGTAGGAAGCCCCAAGATCAATCTCTAATATCACTGAAAAAAATGTAAGCTAAAACCTTTTTGAAGAAATAAAAGCTTAAAATGTATAGTATTGTTATTAATATAACATAAAATATAAACTAAATATATATCTTAAAATGTAATTTCATTTTTGATATATTAATTTTCATTTCCTATATTTTAATTGAATTTTATATTTTACACCATTCAAAAAACTGAATCAAATCTTATATTTTATCATATTTCCAAAATATTTTATTAATTTAAAATTAAAGTATAGTTATTAACAGAAATAAATCAATAACATGTTAACAAGTTCTAAAAGGCAAAAATCAAATGGAAAATGAAAATGTAATAAGCCCAAACAATATTCTATAAGAAAAATCTCAGTTTGGTATTATGATACACACCTGCACATATGTCAGCATAAGAAGTTCGATGAGATAATGTTGCAATGACAATACCAGAGGCCTAGGTAGGAGGATCTAACATCCAAGAACATCCTGGGCCACACACTAGGAGCCTGTCTCCAAAAACACTGGAAAGAAAGATGGGAATGGGAGAAGAAGAGAAGAAGGAAACAAAATGAGAGAGAGGGAGAGAGAAGGAGAGAAGGAGGGAGGAGAAAGAAGATGAGGGGAGGGAGAGAGCTCAGGAAAACTCCTGCTGAGGAGACTTCAGCAGCTGCATTTACAGCTCAGGTCATTAAGGTCAAGGAGAGAAACTGCAGCTTACCTAACACATGGTTTATAAAGCAAAAATAATGGTGAAAATGGACTGAGCCGGCCAAAGAACCCTGTTTTTCCCACTCTGTCACTGTGGAAGAGATTTGTCAGAAGCGTAATTACTCAAGAAGCATGGCACTACACAATAAACGGAGGACCAAGATCAACACAGAGGTAATTTTTTTTTTTATCAACACTTAGAAGACATAAAAGGCACTATTTTTAATTAAATTTCTTTAGAGAGAGCAGGGATTAAACTTGCTAAATTAAGCATCTTTTTAAGCAGTACTTGAAATAAGAGAACAGGATAAAAATCTTGGGGCGAAACTTAAATTAAGGTTCCTTTTTGTAACACTTTTCTTGTGTCGGATTCTTGGTGGAAATTAACCTGAGAACAGCTCAAAAACATTCTTGGATACTTGAGAGAATGTGAACAATTCACATTTTAAAATCACCTCTGAAGGTTTAAAATAACCTTCAGAGAAAGATTATGAGAAGTATCATACGTAGGATAGTCAATGCATGAGCAAAGTTTGACTTTGAAAGATGTCAGGGAGAAATTGTTTACTAATTGGCTACAAGCATTAACTTGCTGATGCATTAACCTTCTTTTTAACCCTGTTGAAATTCTTACATGAACAATTTTTAATAGAATTTTATATTAGCAGGGTGGCTTTGAACCCACAGTCCTTCTACCTCTGCCTCCCAAATGCTGGATCACAGGTGTATGCCACCATATTTTGCAGAACAGGTACAACTTTGGGATGTGACAGAATTCAGTTTTTCAAAAGATATTTTAAGACATCCTTTCTTTGGGTGAATAATGCCTAAAACTGCACTTTTGAGGTATAGCTATGTTTCTCTCTCTCTCTCTCTCTCTCTCTCTCTCTCTCTCTCTCTCTCTCTCTCTCTCTCTCTCTCTGAGGGGCATGCCAACAACCTCCCAAATAAATCACACAGAGAGACTTATTCTTTCTTATGAATGTTTGCCCTTATCTTGACTTGTTTTTTAGACAGCTTTTCTTAAATTATCCCATCTATCTTTTGCCTCTGGGCTTTTATCTTTCTCTACTCTATATAGCTTTATTTCTTTCTTACTTCATTGCTGATTGTGTAGCTGGGGAGCTGACCCCTGATGTCCTCCTCTCCTTCTCCTTTTTCTTGCTCCCCATCCTCTCTTACCAAATTTCTCCTCCTATTTATTCTATCCTTTCTCCTGCCTGGCTATTGGCCATTCAGCTCTTTATTAGACCAATCAGGTGCCTTAGACAGGCAAAATAACACAGAGTTAAACAAGTGAAACATAAAAGAATCCAACACATTCTTGCATCATTAAACAAATATTCCACAGCATAAATGGATGCATCTTAAAATAATATTCCACAACAGTGGGGTGAATGCTTTTCTGCACATTCTAATTTCACTGATATTGAATGTTAGGAAGATGTAGAATGGGATGGAAGTAAGCTTTTGGCCATCTTGTGGGGCTGGAGTATCTTAAGGATGAGATTCAACACATCTAAAATCACTGGAGAGCTACAGTTCACATAGCTAAGCAGTCTTGTGGCAATTGTGTTCCATATAACTTATACAGTATGGTTTCTGCTTGCTGTGGAATGGACACTGCCAAGACAGCAAGTGTTCCGTTCTGCATTTCTTCCTTCCTGGTGCTGGAAACTACATAGCAGCAACTACAGCTGCAAATATTTACTGCCCTGGTGTACAAAGGGAACCACTTCCAACTGTTGTCAATCAGGAATGTGTGTAGCTGTGTCTACCAACTTCTTCAAAGAAACTAAAATCGCAGTGCTTCACATATAACTGCTTATTTTAAAACAGTTATAGTTCATTTAAAACACTGCATGGACAAGCAATAGTTGCTGCAAGTTCTCTCAATCCTCCTCCCTGAGCTACCCTTTCAAAAGCACGAAAGCACACCATTCAGTGCTTATGACTCCTTTCTTGCTTGCTTCTGATGAAAATGATTTAGTCTTCCACAAAGGCTTTATTTATTACTTTCGATGCTTACTCTGAAACAGAAGCTTTCAAATGGATGTTGAGCCCCCACACCATCACTTCTCCCTTTGGAGACAGAAAAGGAAGAAGATTTCATTCATTTTGTTCCAAGTGAAAGTCAATCTGATATTTAAAGAAAAAAAAATGGTGGAACTGAGAAGGTGGCTCATGTGCTCCCGACCTAGTTCAAAAGTCCATCCCACCATGGAATTCATTTCATTATCTCCTGTGTCTAGGAAACTTAAAATAGCATAAAGAGATTTGTTCAGGAAACTCTCCTTTCCCCAACCCCAAGTTAGTCAGCTTTCCATTATCAAAACAAAGATCTGAGCCAATGGTTGGAAGATTTCTCAGTAGTTAAGGATACTGGCTTCTCTTGCAGAGGACTGGAGTTTGGTTCCCAATGCCCACCCTTCTCCAACCCCTTTTGCCCCCACTCCCACCCTCACCAGCAGATGCTCACAACCACCTGTAACCCCCAGTTGCAAGGGATCTGATGCCCTCTGGACCACCCAGAAAGACACACACGCGTGCGAATAGAAAAGTAAATCTTGGAAAAAGAAAAAGGACTGGGCTCCTCAATGTGTGTGTTTCCTAATGTTAATGCTAGACTGGTCTGGTCTTGAAGTTAAATTCAGAGCAAACTGTGGAACCTTAATTTACAGCATTCCCCCAAGTTCTTGGGTAAAGCATGATATACTTTTATATTAGTCAATGTTCTCATGGCTCTGCATTTCTTTCTCTTCATTCCCCTCCTCTCCCTGGCCCCTCACGTCATCATTCCTTCCTGCTTCCTCTCTGTTCAGTGGTTGGCTCTGTGCCCATGCATTGTTTGTGCCGAGATCTAGAGCTTGACTGTGATGGAGCCAATTTACGAGCTGTCCCGTCAGTTTCTTCCAATGTGACTGTAATGTAAGTAGCAAAGACTGGCTCGTCCTTAAGGCTGGATAGAACCGCAGTGAAACCTCCCGGAATGACTCCGGATCAATTCTTAAGATGCATTTGTGTTCAAAGACCGTCTCATCTGTAGAGCAGTGATAATGAACTTTTCACAGATGGTTTTAAATACTTTTAAATACTGGCCTCACCTTAAATTACTCCATAAACAGTTCTGGGAAGTGTTGACTATTCACCATATTTTATCTAAGCAAAACACACCATCCAGTTCTATTGTTGGGGGAGTGGGGCTAAATAAACTACTACCCAGAACTTTCCTCATCACGCGGAATTTTTATTGGATGCTTATTGCAACAGCTGTTTTAGAGTTTATTACACGTGAAGAGTTTTCATATGCTCTTGTGTATAAGTAAATTTAATTTACTAGAGGAACAAGTAAAATAAATTGGATAAAATATTCCCAGAACTTCACATTTAAATTAACTTCTAAATCACACTTTGACTCAGACATGTTGATACTGGGGTCTTTTCCTATGAAATGCAACATTACATATGGAAAAGGGAAGGAGTCTTTTGAAACTGTCTTGCTGGACTCAGTATTTGTGAGAATAATTTCTAGTTCTGGTTATTTGAACTCAACCAGACTTCTGCAGCACACAAACACATATTTTGGTCCAGATTTTTTTTTTAAAGAATGCAATGGAAAGTAAAAGCTTCAGTATATTTTTTATTGAGTCGGTTGGGTTTAGGGTTTTGTTTGTGTGGGCTCTCCCTCCATGTATTTTAATATCTTGTGACTCTGGCTTTCTGGTTCATGCAGACACAGTAAGAGTAACCCTTGAGTATACAGGTGTTGGCAAGTCTTGCCTTTCTCAAACAACCTGCCAGACAACCCAGATGCTTGGCACACAGGTAAAGGAGCTGCAGCAGAGTCCCATCAAGTTCTCAGAATCTAAGTGTTGCCTGTGGATCTCAGTCTGGGAACATAAAACCACAAAAGCTCCCTTTCCCCCCCCCAAGGAAGTGACAGTTCCTGGACAAGGAGGAAGCATCCACTAGTGTTCTCTCCCCTCCCATGGCTTATCATGGCAATTAGTTCTGCTAGAGAAAAAAATAATGATTTCCCCCATGGAAACTGAGGGAGATTCCAGGAAGATTGTCTATGAATTCAGTTCTGACTGGTGAGAGGAATAATTATCACCTCCACTGCTTACATCAAGTTACTGGAAAATCCAAATGAAAGACAGATGCAGCCCACCTCATTTCTCATTTTCCCACAAGTGACATTGGGATCCATTTGCCAATAATCCAACCAGCCTCTGTGAAAGAAAGTAACAGAAAAAGAATGCTAGTGGGATGGAGGTCGAGGGGTGGGGGGAACAGGGTAAATAATTTGGTTAAATTATGATTTGATTTAAGAAGAAATGTTCTGACTACATATTTATAGTATTTACACATAAATAGATATATATCCATCAGCTTTAACCTAGAAGGGAAAGAAGGAGGGGGGGGACAGATAGAGGGACGGAGGGAGGGAGGGAGGTAGGGAGGGAGGAAGGGAGGGAGGGAAAGTAAAACTAAAGCTAAAGTCATATCCTGCAAGAAGACAAGTGAATAATGTCAGTAAGGTGACTTTGGGGCACCCACCCTGGATTACAGATTGATGGAAGAACGAGGAGGCCAGGTCTCAATAAGTGGGAATGACCAAGACGTCAATGTTAAATCTAACATAGTCATTGGGTGGATATTCAACAGACATTTACAGATGTAGGTATAATGCTCAGAGGTTTAAATCTACAACATTTGAATGGTTTTTAAAAGAAAAAAAGCATTGTTAGACTTGGAGTGTAACTCAGTAATACTGCATTTGCTTAACATGCATGAGTCATAATCAGGACTGTAAACACACACACACACACACACACACACCACAGCAACTTTGAATATATATATATATGTATATATATATATACATATATATATATATATATTCTGTACAGCATCGTCTTTTACTTTGGATTAAACCACTTGATTCCAGTTGACCCTATAATAGACTCTTCTCTGCAGATGCTGACTCAGCTTCATACCCTTGCCCCAGTCTGTTTGTTGTTTGAAAGGGAAAAAAAGTTCTAGACTTTAGTGTAAATGTATTACAAGACTAAATATCATGTTCCTTTACCAAGTTCTTCCAGATTTTGAGTTGCAGCTATTACAGGGAAATGTCAGGAGTGGCCTAAATCATATATAAGTAAAGTATCAAAGAAGCCAATCATCCAGTGAGTGTTTATGGAAATCGAGACTTTTGGAAAATGTTTCAAATAAATGCTAAAGAGTGAGATTGGCAGACAGATAGCTATGAATATTTATGCATTGTTCTAGCTCAAACAAATGTTAACTTCAAGAGCTGACTTTTAGATCCCCGAACTTAACCAATAAAAAGCAGAGCTCTGGCTTGCCTTTTGTTCTCTGTGACTTACACTTGCAAATATGAGTGTGTGTGGGGGGGGGGGGGTGTGTATGACTTTGTGAAGAACAAACATAATATCAAATTTTGAAATATAAATATCTTATGTGATTAAAGAATCTGGGGATTTCCCTATCAATAAAAATAATATGTATCCCTTTTAATATCAGGGCATTTTGAAAATATAAATGAAGCTATTTGTGAAAATATTTTGTATCATTTAGAAAGAATATTTGTGTATAAACCCTAGGCATGCATTAATAAGGACCCAGCTTTACTAGAGAGATTTCTTGGAAATCCTTGAAAGAGCCTCCCTCCCTGTAAGGCAGTCCACTCCACTCAAGGGTAGTTAGCCCTGCTTTGAGGATTCTCATAGAATTTCACTTGTAGCTCTTTTTAAGACTATTAAGTGTGCTTTCTTGCATAGTCTTAAAAGAGAAGGCAATGCAATCATCTGCATTGTTTTTCCAGATATCCTCCAAAATTTCCAACACACTGAAATAATCCCTACACAATCACTTTGAAATGAACGTGTACATAAACATAATAAGAATAGGACAACAAATTGCCTTTTTATCCCTGGGGACTAACTCTGAAGGAATCCTCTAGTTTATAGGCAAGGGAAATCATTAGTCATCCAAATAGAGTGTGAGGATTAGGGCAGAGATATTGCTTTTCTTACAAAGCCCAAGGTGGAAATTTAGAGGGCATTTATTGAGAAAATGAATGAATGAATGAATGATGAACAAACAGATGGATGAATGAATGAACACACTTTTAAAAGCACACCAAACTTTTACCTAGGTCATTAAACCCAAACTAAAATGTTTAACAATGTATCTTTCCCCATTATAAACACCCAAAGACTGTAAGGCCAAGTTTGGTTTGAAAGCTAAGGCTGAACACTGTAGGAAAGGATGTCTCAGTAAGCTGGGATAAAGATGAAATGTGACTTGGAGAAAGCGTGACCAGTTAGGTTTGGTGAGTCATATCATTAAAATAGTGCTTCCAGCTCAGAATCCCACTCAAGATCATCCACGTTACAATTAGAAGTAAGACATTAAAGTGAAAATCTGCTCAGCAAAACCAAACTCTGTATGTGTTTCAGGTCCCTGAAGCAGAACTTCATACGATCACTCCCTCCCAACGGCTTCAGAAAGTACCATGAGCTTCAAAAGCTGTAAGGAAAACTTTAACTCTGGGCTTACATTGAACCTGCAGTCTTGTGCACCTGTTTCTTGTTCCTTCTGTAAAGAATAGCGTCATACCACATATTAAGTCTAATAATCCCACCTGGAGAAATCATGTGCCCCTTAGCTGTAGACTTGCAGGTAAAACTGCTGAGTATTTCTAGGAGACATTCTAGAAAAACCTCAGATAGCCATCCCCAAACAAACTGAAGCACATGTTCTGATGATCTTTCACCATTCACCTCAGAATGAAAATAGGGATTTTTGCCTCCTATCATGGATCCTCCTATCATGGATCCTCCTATCCTCCGATCATGGATCAGCTCAATGCTCATCTCAGAGAAAGATGGGGGGGAGTTAGGGCCAGTAAGATGGTTCAGTGTAAAAGCACTGTTTTAGTCATAGTCATCAGGGTTTTCTAGAGTAACAAAACACACACACATACACACATCTTCCTGTATACATACATATACATGTGTGTGTTACCATAGATGTGTGTTCCCATATATGTGTGTATGTGTGCTTGTGTTTTCCCATATATGTATGTATATGTTCAATTGTTCATGGATATATGCATAAATAGGATTTATAAGAACAAAACCATCCAGCAGGGGCACCAAGCCTGATGACCTGAGCACAGTCCCTGGAATGAGATAGCTGACTGACTCTCAAAGGTTGTCCTCTGATCCTTACATATACCGCATGGTATGTACAAACACAAATAGATAAATGAAAAAAAAGCAATAAGGACTGCAGTGATGCCTTAGCAGGTAAAAGCAAGTATTACTCTTTCAGAAATCCAGAGTTCAGATCCTAGCCCAAGTCAGCCATTCATAACTGTCTGTAACTCTAGCTCTTGGGAATCCAATACCTCTGGTCTCCTGGAGGACCCACTCATGTGCACATATGAACACACAGACACAAACATATGCTTATAATCAAAAATAAAATCAATCTTAAAAAATAACTTTTAAGATGTGATTTTTTTTCACAAGATCCACTATCACTATTAAATAGTGAGCTAGGGATTTAGACCTGGGGTAGAATACTTGCTCAGTATGTGCCAGACACTGTTTTCAACCCCCTGCACACATGGGGGATTGAGGGGAGTTTAAATTGTGAAGAATTTGTCTTGGTCAATGTTCTATTGCTGTGAAAAGACACCACAACTCTTATAAAGAAAAGCATTTAATTGAGACTGGCTTACAGTTCAGAAGTTTAGTCCATTGCCATAATAACAGGAAGCATGGTGGCATGCAGACAGACAGACATGGTGCTGGAAAAGTAGCTAAGAGTTCTACACCTGGATACACAGTCAGCAGGAAGAGAGGAACACTGGGCCTGGCTTGAACATTTGAAACCCCAAAGCCCACCCCCAGTCATACACTTCCTCCAACAAGGCCACACCTCCTAATGCCTGTAAAGTAGTGCTGCTTCCTAATGACTCAACATTCAAATATATGAGCCTATGTGGATTATTCTTATTCAAACTACCACAGAATTTCCCCATATGTTAGCAAGTTCAGTTCAATAAATTCATTTTCTGTCTTTGGCTTGGCATACTTGCCTCTCTTCAGGTGAGCCTCATGAATGTATTCCCAAAATCCACAATAACCCAAGATGACCTCTATGTGATTTAGGTCAACTTAATGACTAAGTTGTAAATAATGAATTATTGGGCTTAGATGCTCTGTCCCTGAAGCATACTCTCAAGACAACATCTCAGAACTTCTCACTTTACTTTCATGGATGCCTTCATTTTATTTTGGTGTATTATTACAGATATGTACTTTCTTAAGATAACAGATGGAGTTAGTATAAACTCATCACAGTTACCAGCATATCCCCATAAACCAAGAGTGCACTGCCTGGGACAGTTGGACCTGAAGAAGGGTGAGACCGGTGCTGAGGCAGAACGGGGTGGCATTTTACTCTGTCCATCCTCTGGGATTGAGATCTCATTTCCAAAGTCATGGCAGAAAATGTGGACTTTATTGAAACATATATAAGCTAGTGAAGAGTTCATATATGACTTATATTCAGCACTTATACATCAAATTGGCCTGTATGAGGAAGCACTGACACCTCACAACTCTCATATGACAGATGCATCAGCCCTAAATTACCTCCGCCTGCTCACAAGGACCATCTCCCAGGGCCAGCAAACCACCTGTGATTCTACTCACAGCAAACCATGGAACCAATTTCTCCTAGAGGGTTGCCTATGGATGATATTCCAGGGTATATGCCAGATGATTCCATCACAGTGTGGATCACAGACCAGCAGCTGATGTAAGTTCTTCACCTTCTAAGAGTCTCTGACACCATGGAGTGGAAATGTGCAAAGAATCAATAGAATGGCCCATCCAAGGGGATGCTGAGATGGGAGTGGCCTCTGAAAACTCTATCCATGAACTGTGGGAACCCAAGGCCAACCACTCAACAGAACCACGGGGAGCTCTTCCAGGAAAAGACCTTAATCCAGGGGAAGTCACCCAGCCAACCAAGGACAGCAGCAAGTGCACTCAGTTCTGCACATATTGCTGGTAATGAAGAAAGGAACCATGGGACACCATGAGAGAGGTCAGGACCAGAACTATTAAGAAAGGCATCTGGCTAGAAGGAAGTGACTTGAGTGGATTTATATCGCCTCACTTGATCAGAACTTAAGGACAGAGATCTCCAAACCCCTCACCTCCTCCAACCACTCAGGTAATGCCTCTGCAGGATTGAAGATGGCTCAGTAGCCCTCCCAACCCCATGCCTCCTCTTGCCAAGGAAAAGAATCTAAATCTATGCACTGCCACAAGAAGGCTTTGGCTTCCATGGAACTGGAGTTCCAGATGGTTCTAAGCCATCATGTGGGCACTGAGAATGGATCCTGGTGTTCTGGAAGAGCAGCCAGTGCTCTCAACTGCTGAGTCATCTCTTCAGCTCTTGGCTAAGCCTCCACTCCTGACTCTTCAATTAATTTGAGCAAATTACTCCAAGCAGCAATGATCCAAAGAGTCTAATGACAAAACATTCTATCTAGTTTCTAGAGGCACACCTTGACTCCAAATACAGACAGTACCACCTGCTGCTTATTAGACACTCACCTCAGTTGAAAACACATCACTCCATCTTCAAGTCTTCCTGTCTATCAGTAAAATGTGTGTGTGTGTGTGTGTGTGTGTGTGTGTGTGTGTGTTATCTACCACATGACTGGGACCAGAGCATGTCATGTGAAACAATTTCATAACTAAATTTTTCAATTAGAGTCAAAGGGATATCTTTAAATAAAATTTCAAGTTAACTGAACTCTGTTCCTATTGATTTCTTTCTTATTGCTTCTAACAAGTAAGTCATAAACAAATTAAAGACATTCTCCTGGACAATGGTGAGCTGGATTCCAGAACAGGAGGCAGGCCTGCCATCTTTGTTTAATAACCCATCACAACCCAGGGCAGATGTTATCAGGGCTGCAACGCTGCTCACAGGTACATGGACTGGGAGAGCTAAGCCTGTTACTTCTAATATGCAGTCAATTGAGGCCAAACTTCCAGGGTGATTCGAGGTCACTCTAAGCCTACATTTTTGTCTCCACATTCCAATCTCATTCATATTATTCCAGTCTTGATTTGTTTTCTCTATGTATCACTTCTTCAGCCACTTAAACCCCTTATAAGTTGTCGAAAGAGCTTTGTGAATGAGGTTTAAGGTGTCAGACTAATAAAACTAAATTTGATTTACTAAGATTTGGTGTTGCTATATGATACGGTTTGTGGCATAGCATGTCACAGGCATTTTTCTCTTTGTTCTGGCTCTATATGAGCACCTACATATCTGGGTAAAGGTAACAAAATTTTTAAAGCCTGGCTTACAGGCTTTTTTCTGCATTAGTTCTTGTCTAGAAAATTCTAGGTGGTAACTTTAGCCCCTATCTGTGTGCCTTTACAGCTTAATTTTTTATAATAGTTTTACTGCTTGAGAATTTCATGCAATGTCTTTTTATCATATTTATCCCACACTCCTTCCAGATTCACCCCCACCTCCCCACCCCTCTCTACTGTGTGTCCTCTTTCTGTGTGTTTCTTTAATGGCCCACTGAATTCAATTTATGTTACCCACACACTGGCAGAGGGGTGCCATCCCCTGGAGCATAGTTAACCTACCAGGGCCCAGACTCTTAGAGAAAACTGGCTCCCCCTCCTCCTAGAAGCCATCAACTGTCAATCTTTCCTCAGTTAGTGGTAGGGGCTCATGATTGCTGCCCCTTCCATGCTAGAATGTTTACTGCTTGATTGTGTGCAAGGTAACAGCTGCTGTGTACTCATGAGGGTAGTGGTCCTGACATGGCCAGAAGCTCTCCAGACTTCTGGTTCTTATATACTTCATCTCTCCTTCACAATGGTCCCTGGGCCTAGGGCAGGAGTGCAATGCAGATGGCCCAGTTAGCTGAGCACTCCACTGCACACATACTCTACAGATGGCTAATTGTGAGTATCCACTGCACAAAGAAATGTCCCTGCTGAGGTCGGAGAGCTGCACTAACGTACGAATAGAGATACACACTTAGAGGGCAGCTTGATATTATTTCCATATATAGCCTCGACTTGTAAATAAAAACTGACCCAACCTTGCACAAACTTAACAGCAAAATACCAGCTTCAGCCAGTTGGTCAACAGCGTCTCCCTTTCCCCTTGAGTCAGTTTCTAATGTCAGTAAAATACTCTCAGTAAGTTGGACCATCTCAGCTGACAGAGGCTATCAGCACATGCATGCCTGTATGGCCACCGCTACTGACATCTGCCAGGCTTTTCATCTTCCAAAACTGACACTGTTTTGTTGTTTTCTCTTTGACTGCTCTTGGACACAGGTGCCTGCAAAACAATAAGATTCGCTTCGTGTCAGTCTCTGCTTTCAGAGGATTGCGCAGCCTCACTAAGCTGTAAGTTCCGGGAGGTGTGGGGGGAGAGGGGGAACGAGGCTGAATATCCTGTCAGGCTATCCATTCCAGTCCAAACCAGTTCTCCTGCTCAGGACAGTGTCAGGGCCTGCAAGTAGTGCTGAAGGGACAGTGTAATAGGGGGCTGGGAACATGGGATTAGGGGTACACAGTGCTCAGGCTGAGCCCTCATTTAACTTGCCAAGTGAGTGCCCTTGGGCATCAGCTCCTTCTCTGCGTGATACTTGCTCTAATAGTGCCCACCACATGGCTGTGTGAGAACAAATGAAAACGCCCATAGGCAACAATAGATATACGGAGCCAAGCTCGGAAGACAAACTTAATGGACAGCAGGAGTGGCAACTGAAAGACCTTAGTCAAAGTGAGAAACCTAAGGACACAGAAGAGAAAAGGGGGTTCCCCAGTTTTCCAGGGGATTTTGCTTGCTTTGCTTTTCCTTTCATGGTGAGGGAGAAACCAGTGTCTTGTGTATGCTAAGCACACACTGAGAGTCACCCCCAACCTCTCACTTATATTTTTGTAAGCTTTTGAGATAGTATCTCACTGTGTAGCTACCTGGCTTGGAATTCACTATGTAGACCACAGTGGTCTTAAACTCAAAGAGATACTCCTGCCTCTGCCTCTAGCGTACTGGGATTAAAGACATAAGCAATATAACTGAATTCTTTTATAACGTTTAGTTCTAGCTTATAAATGTTTAACATATGATAGATTTAGTGGCCAGGTGGTTGTGGCGCAGGCCTTTCATCCCAGCACTCAGGAGGCAGAGGCAGACAGATCTCTGTGAGCTCCAAGCCAGCCTGGTCTACACAGCGAGTTCCAGGTTAGCCAGGGATACACAGAGAAACCCTGCTCAAAAAAAAAAAAAAAAAAAAAAAAATAGGAAGAGCCAGGCAAATAAAAGTTTGACATACACTAAATTTAAAAAGCCTCTGACTGTGGAATCTGGGTTCTTTCCTATCTCACTTTGCCTGATGTCTCTGGCATTCCTCCCTGTATTAGAGTTTCCTCTTTTTCAAAGATGTATAGTATTCTATTGTGTGTTTATGTACCACATTCTTTTTATCCATCCATCTGTCCATAGCTACTTGGGAATCTCCATCTTTTTCTGTTGTGATAAAACCACTATTACTCAGTCCACAGTAGTCCCTGATTTTGGTTCTATTCAGTGTGCTAAGCCAGGAAATATAATCGCTGTTCCCATGCTGATTCAATCCACTTGTTTTGTTTTGTTTTTTGAAGCTACTGTGCTATTTCTCCAGCAGCTGAATTTTTTTTTAATTATTTGAGAATTCTTGCACCCCAACTTCTCCTGGATCCTTCCCCTCCCCTACCTACCCAACTTAATGTTTTTCCTCTCTCTTAAAAAAAAAATGAAAGAAATCTTAGCTGGGGTCATCTTTGTAGATTTATGGGAGTTTCCCTTGTGTCCCTTGTGTTTCCCCTATCCAGTCATCTCTTTCAGTACTCTCTCCCTCTACCCACCCCACTAGCCTGATCCCTCAAGTTCCCATCCCCACCTACCCCAGTTTCCTCAGGAGAATTCTCCTATTTCACAAGGATATCCATGCATCCCCCTCCCCTTGGGCCCTTCTTGTTATATAGTCTCTCTAGCTCTGTGGATTGTAGCATGGTTATCCTTTACTTCATAGCTAATATCTACTTATGAGTGAGTACATGTTATGTTTGTCTTTCTGTGTCTGGGTTACCTTACTCAAGATGGTCTTTACCTCCAAATTTCCTGATGTCATTGTTTTTAACAGCTTAATAATACTCCATTGTGTAAATGTACCACATTTTCTTTAACCAATCTTTGGTTGAAGGGCATCTAGGTTGTTTCCAGGTTCTGGTATTACAAAGAAAGCTGCTATGAACAAAGTTGAACAAGTGTCCTTGGGGTATGATTGAGCAGCTTTTGGACATATATGCCCAAGAACAGTATAGCTGTGTCTTGAGGTAGATAAGTTCCCAATTTTATGAGAAACTGTCATATTGATTTCCAAAGTGACTGTACAAGTTTGTACTCCCACCAGCAATGGAGGCGTGCTCCCCTTTCTTCACATCCTCTCTGGCACAAGCTGTCATTTGTGTTTCTGAGCTTAGCCATTCTGATTTACACTTCCCTGATGGCTAAAGTTGGGAACATTTCTTTAAATGTTTCTCTGCCATTTGAGATTCTTCTGTTGAGAATTCTCTGTTTAAGTCTGTAACCTGTTTTTAATTGGATTGTTTGGTATTTTGATTCTAGTTTCTTGAGTTCTTTATATATTTTGGAGATCAGCTCTCTTTGGGATGTTGGGTTGATGAAGATCTTGTCCCATTTTGTAGGCTATTTTGTCCTATTGACAGTGTCCTTTGCCTTACAGAAGTTTAAAGTTTCATGAGGTCCCCTTTATTAATTGTTGATTGTAGTGTTTGTGCCACTGGTGTTCTATTCATGAAGCCATCTCTTGTGCCAATGTGTTCCCATTTTCTCTTCCATCAAGTTCAATGTTACTGGATTTATGTTGAGGTCTTTGATCCACTTAGACCTGAGTTTTGTGCAGGGTAATAGATATGGATTTATTGCATTCTTCTAGATGCCAAAAACCAGTTATGTCAACCCTGTTTGTTGACAATACTGTCTTTTTTCTATTGTATAATTTTGGCTCCTATGAAAGTTGTACAGGTTGGCCCTGTACCAGCTAAGACTCTTAGCAATAGTGGATTGATAATAAATAGGCTGAAGTGGCCATCTCCTATGATTACATTGGTGAGTACCCCAATTGTCATCAGAGAAACTTTATCCAATAACCAATGAAAACAGATGCAGAGACCCACAGCCAAACATTAGGCTGAATTTGGAGAATATTACTGAAGAGGAAGAGAAAGGACTATAGGAAGCAGAGGGGTCAAGAGCACCAAAATAAAACTCACAGAAACAACTAACCTGGCTCCTGGGAACTCACAGAATTTGAATCAACAATCAGAGATGTTGCATGGGACCAATGTAGGTCCTCTATATATATATGTAACAGATGGGTGGCTTGGTCAACTTATGGGACTCCTAACAATGGGAGCAGGGGCTGTTTGTAATAGCTTTGAGTGGCTCTTAGGAACCCATTCCTCATACTGGGTTGCCTTTCCCGGCTTTAATACAGGGGAGGCATTTATTACTGGCTTAGCTTTATACACCATGAATTGTTGATACCTGTGGGAAGCCTGCTCTTTTCTGAACAGAAACAGAGGAGGAATGAATTGAGGTGGGGGTGGAGGGAAGGTGAGGAAGGGAATGGGAGGGAAGGAGGAAGGAGAAACAGCAGTCAGGTGTAAAATAATTTTTTAAAGTAAATAAATAAGAAAGAAAAACAACTTAAAACAAAAACATGAAGTCCAATTAGTACTTGCCAACTACTGCTGGGCATGAAGCCTGCCCTGAAGTATGGCTCATACTTGGTGTCACTCCAGCAGGTATCAATTTTAAATAGCTTCTCTGCTAGAAGTGATACCTAGTGCTCATTTCTACTCCTCTGTGCTGGGATTTTGTCTGCCTTACACTTTTGCAGGTCTTGTGTATGCTGCTTCCTTAAAATCATCCTCTACATCTGCCTCTTGCAATCTTTTCATCTCCTCTTCCATGGAGATCCTCGATGTCTTGAGTGGTGGTACAGTAAAGACAATCCATTCAGGGTTGAGTGCTCCAAAGTCTCCCATTCTCTCCATGTTGTCTAGTTGTAGATCTGTGGGTTAATTGCCATCCACTGCAAGTAGCTTCTCTGATGAGGATTGAGTAATCTATGGGTATAGCCATGTCATTCCTATGTTCACTTAGTAGAATAGCAGTAGTAGGTTTTCTTCCAGGCCCATCAGCTACCTCATCTCAGATTCTTGGCCTCATTAGTGCTATTAGCCATGGGTTGCCTCTCATGGATCAGGCCTTAAATCTAATTTTTAAAATGATGGGTTATTTCCCTAACATTTGTGCCACTATTGTACCAGTGGACATATATTGCAGTCATATTGTTATCACAGCTGTCAAGTTTCATAGCTTCGTGAGATTGATGACTATTTTCCCTTCCTGTAGCATGTATAGAAACATATAGCACTGGGCTGGAGAGATGGCTCAGGAGTTAAGAGTACTTGGCTGCTCTTCCAGAGGTTCTGAATTCAATTCCCAGGTGGCTCACAGCCATCTCTAATGAGATCAAGTGCCCTCACTGTATACATAATAAATAAATCTTTAAGAAAGAAAGAAAGAAAGGTATAGCACTATGAATGCCACCCAGTAGGGATGAAGTTTCCATTAAGTACCAGCTAGATTTCTCCATGTTCTATGCCATTGGTGTGGTGTTTTCAGCAATATGGTCTTCGTGTCAAGTTGTGGAGGCTAAGTAATAGCATTGGCAATAGCCTATAGTGTTTGAAGGAGTCTATGGTACCCCTTTGGCCAAAGACCTCCAAAAATGTAACTCATTCCTGATACTGGGGAAGGGGGCACCACATGATATCTAGTTGAGGCATTATCTTCATCATATGGTGACTTCATTCAAACTCTTTTTATGTCTACATCTTAAGAAGTTCCTACAGTAATAGGTTTTCACATGGACTTCCACACACTCTCTGCTTTACCCTGACCTTTAACCCCCTTGCTCTTCCATTCTCGCCCTTCACTCCTATTCTACTTTCTCCCTTATATCACTGTCCTCTATACCCCTTGCTTGTCAGCTGCACCATTTTAATCTCCCACCAACAGCACAGAATAGTGCTAGTTTCCACCACCCTCACCCACACTCATTCTTTCCTGGTTTGAAGGTTTGTTTTGATACTAACCAACCTAATTGGTGTGTTGTGGTGCTTAAGGGGGAGGAAGGGGAAAGCATTTTTCCTCTTCCATTTTATGTATATGGATATTTTTCTTATATGTATGTCTGTACATCCTGTGATTTCAGTGCCTGAGAAGGCCAGAAAAGCATGTCAAATTCCCTGGGACTAGAGTCACAGCCAAGGTTGTGAACTACCATGTAAATGTGGAGAATCAAACGTGGGTCCTCTGGAAGAGCAGCAAACGTTCCTAACCACTGAGCAATCCCTCAAGCCCAGGGAAAACTTTTTTAAAAATAGACTTTCAAAGTTCCATCCCATCTATCGGCGTCCTTACAGAGCAGCCTCTTTCAAGTAAACATATCTGAAGCTTGGGTGAATAAATGGTTCCCTGCATTTTCATTCCTTCTATTTAGGTTTGGTTTTCTTCTTTTCAGTTTTTAGTTTTGGTTAGGTTTGGTTTGGTTCTGAGGGGAGGGGGTTATTTGTTTTTCAAGACAGGGTTTCTCTGCATTGCTTTGGAGCCTGTCCTGGAACTTGCTCTGTAGACCAGGCTGGCCTTGAACTCACAGAGATCCACCTGCCTCGGCCTCCCGAATGCTGGGACTAAAGGTGTGTGTCACCAACTCCTGGCTCTTCTATTCAATTTTATTGCAGCTTTACCTGATAGAGGTGGGACACTGCACTGGTAGGGCATGGCCAGTGTGGAGGTCAAAGGACCACCTCAGTTTTCTCCTCCTAATATGTGGGTTCTGGGGATTGAACTCAGGTCTCTGGGTTTTGTAGCAAGCACTCCTAACCTGCTGAGCCATCTCACCAACCCTGGTTATTTGTTTTCATCCTACCTCTTTCTCTATCTTTACCCAACAAATCTGTTCCTATCATATTTATAGTCTATGGTACAAAAGTGGGAGATGGAGTCAAGAACACCTGGCAAGTGGTAACAAAATGGTCCTGGGCACTGTTGCCCCTCCCCCTTCCTTTTGTTCTGAGCCAGCTGCCCTTGTCTTCACTCATTCTCACCTGGTACTGCTTCCTCTCCATGGGCCTGTTTGGAACTTTCTGACAACATCAGTGTGGCTTCCTGTTTAAGATATGGAGACCTTCTTGGAAGGCAGAATGGAGCAGTAAAAAAAAAGTCTTAAGACTAGTCTCTTCCCATTTGTTCCTTGGCACCCGGCTATTGTATCAATGACTCCACATTATCTCTAGTTTTCTTAAATGTCACAAAATATGTGCTTTTGTTCGTTGCATGAAAGGATGCATTCCATCCCTTATTGGGCAAGTGTTCAGGTAGACGTCTCTGGAACTCAGGACAGTGGGTCAGAAATACTGTCTTTAAGGAGATGCTTGCTACCCAAGAAATTCAGGGTTCCCTGGGCTGTTCTGGAAGGCAGCAACCCTCCCGTTCTCTGGAGAGAAAGCAACGCTATGATATCAGTACTTAAGTCAAAACTTGTATTGCTCACACCAACTCTGTTATCATAGATCTGCGCCAGTCAGACTTTCCTCACTGTGACAAATACCTGATAGAAACAACTTAACTGAAAGGAGATTCCTCATGATTTGTGATTTCAAAAGCCCATCATTGCAGGCAACACGGTGCAACCAATACCCCTGGGGAGCACCTCCTAACCCATAGTTAATTCTTTCTGTGAGACCCTTCACAGACAGTGTACTCTACTGATCTCCCACAGGCTTCTCAATCCAATCAGGTTGTTAGTCAAGGTCAAAGTCACAGGTACTCTGTGAGAAGTGGTCATTTATGGTCTAGAGCAATGCAGGATGGCCCTGAAAAAAATGAAGAGGACTGAAGAGTATAGATCTGGGTAAGGTGCAAGTGTGGATCCATTGCCTTGAACTTGAAGGGATGGGCATTGACTCATGAGTGTCCTGAGTGTTCATGGATGTGCTAAAGCCATTTCTTAGTCCTTCTTTGCCTGCCTGGCATCCAGGCCTGCAAAGCAGAGAAGGAAATGGCTTAACCTAGGGGACAAACCAGAGAAAGTCAAACCTAGCAAAAATGGTCAGATGCCTGGCAGGATTTTTGCAGTTTGTCAGCTATAAAGTATGAGAAAAATAAAGAAAGGAGAATTTTTTTCAAATCGAGAGCTGGGGATGGTAGAGTGTTTGCCTAACATATACAAAATGCTGGTTTTGGTCCCCAGCATCACTTAAAACAGGGTGTGGTGGTACACTCCTACTGTCCTAGCACTTGGGAGGCAGAGGGAGGTGGACCAGGAGATCAAAGCAAGCCTCAGAAGTTGGAGGCCAGCCTCGGCTAGATGAGGCCTTGCCTTTAAAAAAAAAAAAGTCCTCCCAAAAGGAAAATAATGGAGAGGTGCCAATGTGTTCCATTTATCTGGGCAAGAGGAACTTGAATAAGTGCTTGCAAATGAATCATAGGCGGAGATGTAGTAAAAACAGTGTTCTAACAGTGATACATGCAGAGCACAGATGGCATGGCTTGTCTCCAATGTGATGACAACCCTATAAGGGAGGAATTGAATGCACATCTTAGCAACGAGGGAGTGAGAGCTCACCAGAAGTGCTCCAGGACACTACTGTTTAAAGTCAGTAGAAACCAAACATTAATAACAGACACAATGCAAGAGTCCCTCACTGAAGAGACTGTGATATGAACAGGCATGACAAAAAGACATCATCACAGTGCAACAGCACTGGCTTGCGCTACAGTGAGAGGCAAAAAGAGTCAAACTCATTAACAAACCACGCCATGACCTTTCACCAGCACAGCCCTCTCTAGATCCCAAATTCGAAAGCCGTGTCTTAGTTACGGTTTTTACTGCTGTGAAGAGACACCATGACCTACTCTTATAAAGAAAACATTTAATTGGGGTGGCTTGCTTATAGTTTCAGAGATTCAGTCCATTATCATGGTGGGAGCATGGGCAGCGTGCAAGCAGCCGTGGCGCTGAAGGAATAGCTATGTGTCCTACATCTTGCAGGCAACAGGAAGCCAACTGTCTACACACTTCATGGTATTCCAAGCATAGGAAACCTCAAAGCCCTCATCCACAGTGACACAATTTCTCCAAGGCCACACCCACTCCAATAAAGCTACCCCTCCTAATTGTGCCACTCCCTATGGGATTATGGGGGGCCAATGACATTCAAACTAGCATAGGGAGGCACATTGAATCTTCTAGCAATCTCTTAACTTCTTACTCTCTTGTTGTTGCTTTTGCATGCACTTTTCCTCTGCCTGAAGTAACTCCTGCTTTGTGAACAACACATCTTCATGCAAAATGCTTCTGAGTTGTACCTTCTTTCTGTCTCCATTCCCTTGTGTTCCTTAGTGTCCCATCTTTACAGGTCAGGTCCATTCTGCAGAAGAAGAGTAACCACACATATGTTACACACATCCTCCTGGTTTTTGTATGTTGCCTACTTACCTGTTCACATCCCTGTCTGCCTCTCCAGATTCAATGACCTTCAAAGAATGGGCTGATATACTTGCCATGACTATCCCATTTGGTTAGTTCCCAGTCCCTATAACAAAATTCTTCAGGTAATTAACTTACAAAGAGAAAATATATTTGGCTCCCACTTTTGGAAGTTTGTCTGTGATTGGCTGACTCCATTACTTTGAGCCTGTGATTGAGGCAGCACAAGATGGTGGGGACTTGTGACAGAGCACTCCCCCATCTCATCCTTCAAGTGTGCCACTGAAGAGCATGCCCCCAAGGACCTGAGGATTCCCACAGGGCCTTACCCCCTAAAGGTCCTCAGCCCCTCCCAACAGTGTTCCCCTGAGAACAAAGCCTTTGACTCATGGATACCTATCCAGACGACAGCAGAGTAGGTGATTAAAACACAGACCAATTCACTCGCTGATTATGAGAAACTGAAAGCTAGGAATGACACAGTAAGTGATGAGGGTGCTTAGAGGTTCAGAGGCTGAACATGGTGTGGTTAGTGTGGGACAGAGAAAAAAAAATTAGAAAGGGTGATGACCATCGTTCCTTTCCTTCTTCTAAAACACCACAAGAATAAACTCACTGCTGTGTGTCTTCTTTCCAGGTATCTCAGCCACAACAGAATAACCTTCCTGAAGCCAGGAGTCTTTGAAGATCTCCACAGATTGGAATGGCTGTATGTTCCATTTGTATGCCATTTCCTTATATTAGTTTTAATGCTCTAACAATACATATATCACACTGCTCTCTTCCTACCTACAGGATAATTGAAGACAATCACCTCAGTCGGATTTCCCCACTCACGTTCTATGGACTAAATTCTCTCATTCTCTTGTAAGTACACAAATAAAACAAACAGGGAGGGGGAAGGGTTCAGTGAGTGAGAGGGTTCACTCACAAGCTGGTTCAATCCCCAGGACCTGTGTGATGGGAAGATCAACTCCTGCAGGCTGTCAGCTGGGCTTAAAAACTGGTGTGCATGCACGCGCACACAAACACACACACACACACACACACACACACACACACAGCAATAAATAAGTAAATCAATGCAATAAAAAATTTAAAGTATTCTAATTGAAAGAGACAGAAATAAAAAATTAAAACTTGAAGCATAGTAGCATTAAATTTGTAATTATTAAATCCTGAAGGAAGCTTTCTTTACTGAAAACCACATTGTCCATATTCTCTAGGGCTACTTATAGGTCTGACCATTTTGTAACAAAGTTCTGCCAGCCCACCAAGTCTGAGCACACACAGTCTCACTGCTGTACTGTGCTCAAGTACTCCTAAGACTGTCCCTCCTGTGCAGCAACTTCAGTGAAGCAAAAGCCTCAGGCAAAGGTCACCTCCTTTGCACAGCCCACTGCTGATGGCCGTGGGCCTTGGTCCAAAGACTAGCATTGCTGCCCCCTGCCTGAGAAACGGCTTGGGTAGAAATGTTATACTAAAAAGCACTTCAATACTTCAGGGTGTGTAGAGAGAAAGCCATGGGAAGACTTGCCGCGTGAAAATCTAGCCCTTTCTGAAAAGTAATGATAACTGTGTTGCCTGAAGATAGAAAAGGACCAGAAAATGTGATTTTGGTTGCTTCTTTCCTTTTTAGAGTGCTGATGAATAATGTCCTCACCCATTTGCCTGACAAACCCCTCTGTCAGCACATGCCCCGGCTGCATTGGCTGTAAGTCTCTCTCTCTCTCTCTCTCTTTCATATATGTATGTATGTATGTATGTATGTATGTATGTATATATATATATTATATGTATCTCATATCTGTACCACATATACATACACACATACGTGTGTGTGTGTATGTATATATACATTTTCTGAATTTGATTAACTTGTATTTGACATCAGGGGTCCTCTGTGCTGGGTGGGCTAGTGTGTCAAGTTTCCTTGCATTATTTTACTGTATTTTTATATTAAACGTGCTCATTGAGTAACTTCTCTAAACTTTCACCAAAATGCAACATCTGAAAATACTTTGGAGCCTGGAAGAAGGAAGACAGAAAGGATGTCACATAGTCCACATCACACTTCCTTTTCCCTCTGCCAGTTCACTCGACTATTTAGTAGATGATAAAGCTGAGGCACTTTAATCTTATCCCTAAATTCTGAGCAATGAGATTGTGTTGCTTAGCCCTAATCATGAGGGAATGGGCACTGTGGGATGTTTTGAAACCCTTACATGTTCTGTGTAGTTTGTTGGCACAGTGGTTTTGCCTGGTATCAAATATCACTAGTTAGAGTTCAACTAGCCAGTAAATTTGCCGGTTTAGAATACAGATTCTGTCAGGTGTGGAGTTCACACCTGTAATCTTAGGAGGCTAATGCAACAGGCTAAGGAACGAGAATTGCCATAAGTTCAAGGCCCTGTTCAGAATAGGGTACAGGGTGAGGCCCTTTTACTTAAAAAACAAAAACAAAAAATAAACTAAAGGGTTTTATTTTGTTTTGTTTTATTAAGAAATGACCAAAATTCCTATTTAAAAGTTCAAACAACAAATTGCCTACCAGAATCAGGAAAACTTCCTCTACTTCTTGTTTTGGAAGAAATTTTCAAAAATTATTTGGTATCCAAGTTCATAGCAAACTAGAAATGCCAAATAATGACAGGAAGATAGTGAGAAGCACTATTTCTGTGAGTGGTGACCGCTATCAACATGATTGTAACACAAGAGAAAGGGATCAGATAGAAAACAAGCCAGGTTTGGCCCAGGCTCATTTAGAATCCCTCCAGGGAAGCAAGCTGGTGTGACAGCCCAGCTCTTTCTGTACATGGTCAAGCTGAAGCTAGAAAGAAAAGGGAACAATGAATCAATGACCTTCCTTATAAATGATGCTTGGTTCAAAAGGGCACTCTGACAGCTGTTGCAATTCTGACTTAGCGATGAAACCCAACTGAGCAGTACTTACACAAACAATCAACACTTAAAGCCATGTGCCTTGTGAGACTGGAGGTAGAGCTCACACACACACACGCATACACACACACACACACACACACACACACACACACTCACACACTGTGAATTGAGACTAAGTTTTTTTTTAATGAAGGTTTCATTGTGTAGCCCAGACTGGCCTTGAAGTCAGTCACAGGTATTCTCATGCCTTAGTCTCCCCGGTGCTGAGATTATAGAAATGGAAGCAGCTGCAGTCAACACTTACTGAGTATTCGATGATTCTTCAGTGAGCACTGCCACCTCGTGGTCAATTCATAACTGGCCGTTGGCAATAAAATAAAAGGATTTTAAAAATAAGTAAAAAACTTTTAATAAAAAGTAAAAATTTTAAAAAAAAATCTGACTTAAATAATGACAGATCCAAAGCATGAACCAAGGCAAGACTCTAAGCATTTAGCAACCACTTTCACATAACAAAGGCTTGGCCTCCAGAGGGTCAATATGCTGCTCATTCTACAGCCAGACTTTAGTATCCTCTTAGGTTACTCTCCATCGTCAACACACCTTCTTCTTCAATATACTCAATTTTTAGATCCTTTAATTCCTTATCTTCCAATATTTCAGATATATTTCACTCTGTCAATGTTAACTTCAGCACAGTTCCCAAAGCAAGGCTGACAGTCCCCCTAGACTTGGCAGGGCACCAGATTTTCTCTAGAGCTTTCTGAGAAAGCTCTATCCTGCATGAATCACCATTGCCTCTGAGTAACTTCATGCCATCTGGCAACCATTAAACTAAGTGTGTGATACCCTTAGAACTAAGAGCAGTGTCCAAGGCAATGTATCACTCCCTTCTGCTCTCCCTACCATGCTCCCACTGTAGGAGTCAAAGACGAGGAGCCGTGTAAGAAGAGCTCCAGCTGGGGGCACAGCTCAGTGGTAGGACCCTAGCCTTGCTTGTACAAAGTCTTGTGCTTGGTCCTCAGCACTCAAAGACAAAAGGTAACTTTTGACGCCGTGACTAGAGTTCTTGCGGTGACAGTTCCACAAAGCACACACACTCAAGGGGAACGTCTGCACGCATCCCCCTGCTCGAGAGTGGAGGACAAGGCAGCTGTAGAACCACTTGAAAAGGCTATTACGATGGCTCCCAGCAATGGCAAGCTGTTGGGAATCTTTCCTAGGACTATTTAAGTGAGGAAGACAAGAACTAAATAGTGTCGTCTGGAGGCCATCACAGAAAACCATAACTGTCAAAGTACAGAGAAAAACTGATCATGGGGTGCCCAGCCTCTACAGATACATCTACACCTAGGGCACTAAAGGAACGTATCACAAGAATGGAAGAGTGAAGGGTCAAAAGATTGTAAAAACACAAGTACAAGGTGTGAAAATGTGTCTCTCAGGATACATAGGAAGCTATACCCATGATACCACAATAATATGGCCACATTAACAAGAATTGAACAATGATAGCACTAATAAACATGCTAAAGCCAAAGGGGTAAAGCTCATCAGGTCCACTTCTGAGAGAGGGAGAATTAGTCTTCCCCAGTGATGAGCACCCAATACCAAATGATCAGCTCTGAATTCATATATATGCAAACACTAAAAAGACTCAGTAGATTGTACGTGTGTGTGTGTGTGTGTGTGTGTGTAAAAATAATAAAGAAAAAGAGGACAGGAATTTGAGAGGTAATAGGGAAGTATGGAAGAGATCAGAGAAAGTGAAAGGGGAAATTATATAATTATATTTTAATTAAAAATTTTTAATTATCAAGATAGATAAATGAATAATTATTGTCTGGGCAGCCACATCACCTCCTGTAGTGGAGCCTGTAGCTTCATTTCTGCTTATGGAAGCACTTTGCACCTCTGGACAAATGTTTAATATGCTTGACTACTAAATGCTTGTTAATAAATTAGATATTTCCTGCAAAAATAGTTTCTCCTCAATTACTTGGAATAATAATATTCATTTATTGTGGACAGGTAATAAAGATGTGACCCAAAACATTTTTTACTCCTTGGCACTGGGAATTGAACCCAGGACCTCATATTACATTTACTAATGGTACAAAAGACAGACAATAATACTACATGTATATAGCATATATGTAAGTTCAGCTACTATACAAGTGGTTGAAAACAGAATGTGAAGGAAATGTATTTTATTAGATAGCAAGTAATCTTTAGGTAATTTATTTCTGTGTACAGATTTAATTTGATCGTGTTTTATTTTTATATTCTAGGGACTTTGAAGGCAACCATATTCATAATTTAAGAAATTTGACTTTCATTTCCTGCAGTAATTTAACTGTCTTGTAAGTACTATCATTTTTATAAGTAATGCTGACTCTCCCTACAAACCAAATGAATATTTTATGTGTGCAGAACCCTGCCTGAGTATGTGCAGGAACAGGAAGGTGTGACTCCTGTCCTCATCTGTGTATATGTGTGTGTGTGCATACAAGAACGTGAGTGTGTGTGTGTGTGCATGTGCATGCATGTGTGTGTTCATGTGTGCATGCATGTGTGTATATACACACACATACATACATATATATACACACATCATTATCATCAACCATAAATGAAAAAGAAGTTATGAATTTGAAAGAGAGCAAAAAGGGGTATGAGGAAGGAAAGGAATGGGAAATATAATTCTAGTCTCAAGAAAAAGAAAAAAAAATTTAAAAAACAAGTCAATATCTTTAATCCTAGGACTCCAAGGCAGTGAGTGGCAGGTATATCTCAAGCTTGAAGCTGGTCTAGTCTACATAGTGATTTCCAGGCCAGCCAGAGTTTTGTGTGTATGTATGTATGTATTATGTTGTTTTCAGAGATGGCCGTTTGATGTTGGAATTGACTTTTAAACTTCTATGTGGAAAAAAATCATTTGCATTTCCTCATGGCAGGTGTGTATGGTGTAGGTCCAGAGTTAACAGTAGAAGGTGACATGGTTTATAGTTATGAAAGAAATTAAATATGTAAAGCTAGCACAAGGTTACTCTAGTAGACACAGAAGGGAAATGACCAAAGTTCATGTATAAAAAATAAATACATGTTCTGGAAATAACAACAGCACCAACAACTTCTCCTAAAAGCACAGAAGAGAGGATAAGAGAGGGGGAGGTAGGAGACAAAAAAGGAAAAGAACAAAATAATGACCGATATGACCGATAATAAGTACAATTAAATGAATAGACAAGAAGGAAGGAAAATATATCATAATTTATAAAATGGAATAACGTGAAAACACTACAAACAATGCATGAAAAAAAAAAAGGTGGTCAGCACAGGCTCAACGATAAAGGTAAACCATCAAGTGTTAGCACCGCTTCAGCCTGTGCCCTCGAATGGACCCCACCAGAAGGCCTGGGGTGTGTGTGGGACTTGGGGGGCTGGCGGATGGTTTGAGCGTGTGTGCCACTCTTGCCGTTCCTGTGGCGGATGCAGGTGCTGAGTCTCTATTGGACTTATGTCTGGATGGCTATCCCAATCGTCTTCACTTTGGTCATTTCCCCTCTGTGTGTGCTGCCATTTGAGCCGAGGGAGGGAACAAGAATGAAGCAAGTGAGATGGAGGAGGACAAAGGGTCATGATATGAATGAAGTATTATGGCTATACCAAAATGCTATAATGAATCCCATTATCTTATATTCTAAGCTAAGAAGTTTTAGATAAACGAGTAGATTAAAAACAAGTTTCTCAAATTAGTCAGTTATGCTGACAGATAACACAGAGATCGGTAGAGATGAAGATGGGGATAGGGTGTGTGGATCAGCTATATAGCAAGTATGAGGTCCTAGATTTTTTAATTTTTTTAAAGATTTATTTATTTATTCTGTCTGCATGTATGCCTTCAGGCCAGAAGAGGGCACAAGATCTCAGATGGTTGTGAGCCACCATGTGGTTGCTGGGAATTGAACTCAGGACCTCTGGAAGAGAAGTCAGTGCTCCTCTCCAGCTCCATGAGGTCCCAGATTTAACCCTCCCCTTCCTCTCTCTCTCTCTCTCTCTCTCTCTCTCTCTCTCTCTCTCTCTCTCTCTGTGTGTGTGTGTGTGTGTGTGTGTGTGTGTCTGTGTGTGTGTGTGTGTGTGTGTGTCTCTCTCTCTCTGTGTCTCTCTCTCTCTTTCTCTGTCTGTCAAAAGCCAAGTGCTGAAGTCTGACTCATATTTCCAAACTAAAGAGACATTGAACTGGTCCATTCAGACCATTCTCTCTTAAGCAGTTCCATCCTAACTCCATGCACTAGCAAATAAGAGCTCTGTGGTGCATGAAGCCTTTTGTTAGATGGACGCACTTTGCAGACTGCAGTGATAAGTCTAAAACAGTTCCTGTGAGCATAGCTGCAAGATGCTCAGTTTTTGTTCCGTAAAGGTGAGGTTTCTCTACTCCTTTCAAAGCTCTTCTTCATTTCTAATTACAAGTCTAAATTAAATTTTCGTGTTGTCCCCGTTAAAAGATTTGAGAAATTTAAGAATAAAATTTAACTAGAGCTGGGTGTGGTGGCACACACCAACAATTGCAACACTCAAGAGACTGATGCAGAAAGATCAAGAGTTTGAGACCAGCCAGGGCTGCATAGTGGAGCCTGTGTTTTTGAAATAAATAAATTGGATAATAACATACTATTCGAAATATCCTGATATGAAAATGCACTATATTCATTATCTCTGTGATTTCATTGTAGGAGTTACATTTAGGAATCCATGTGATAATTATGTTGACATGTTAACATGTACTTTCCTTTTTTACTTTCAGGGTAATGAGAAAAAACAAAATTAATCACATAAATGAATGTGCGTTTGCACACCTCCAGAAACTATATGAATTGTAAGTTTGATTAACATGTATTTAGAATGCTTAACCAAATATGTATTTAGAATGCTTAACTAAATATGTATTTAGAATGTTCTGTTCCAGTTTTACTTTGTATTACTTATACATCTGGTATCTATGTATTTAAGAAATATTAATTTCCTCTCTCCAAACATGAGTCATAAAACAATTCAGATAGATTACAAAAGTAAATATAAAATAAATATTTGAGGTAAGCTAGATAAAGGAAACAGCTTTAGACAAAAAATAAAACCAGAGTAAAACTAATAAGTAAAATAGAACCCACACTGTTCTTTTTGCTCCAAGGAGGCAGAATATCTGTCATTAAGTTTCCCAGAGGGTTCAAATTGAGGAGCCACAAGATTCAAGACATAATTCTTCTGAATCTGAAATTGAAAGGTTATCCTGGACCCACAAGGAAGTAAATTCCTGCTGAGGATAAGATTCCTATCCTCAGCAATGGAAGAGAGAGAAGCATTCAAATTATTCTAATGTCCCCTTTAAATACCAGTAGCATAATTACAAATTCATCAAAGAAGTTATATGATGAACCCAAAACCTTATGACGATTGGTGGTCATAATAAAATAATAAGAAGCATCATTGTCTATTTTAGTATACATTACCTGTAACAGATGAGGTTACATGTTTTGACAATTATCTTGGCCAAGCACTGAATTACTGAGTCTTTTACACAAAAATTAAAGTATATAGGGGCCTATGGCAACTCTTAGGAATACATATTGCTGTTCCAGAGGACTGGAGTTCAGTTTCCAGCATCCACATTAGACAGCTCACAACCACCTGTAACTCCTCTTCTGGCTCTGAAGTCTGAAAGCACATATCTGTGTGTGTGCACATACACACAGGGAGGGGAAGGGAGAGAGAGAGAAAATGAGAATAAAATATATTTTTAAAAGCCTAAAGAATTAACAAATTGGGCAGTGGTGGTGCACACCTTTAATCCCAGCACTTGGGAGGCAGAGGCAGGCAGATCTCTGAGTTCAGAGCCAGCCTGCTCTACAGAGCAAGTTCTAGGACAGCCAGGGCTACACAGAGAAACCCTACCTTAAGAAATGAAAAAGCAACAAAAAATAAGGAATTGAAGTAGAATGATAGGAACAGATTGTTGGACAGCTTACTGTACATAGGCAGGTAAAGAGGATGTAGTGAATAGAAAGCTTATCAGGAAATAGTCCTGTAACATGTGGGCCCACTGAAAATCCCAAAACTTCTGTAATGAATAGCTTGAAACATTTTGGTATGCACTACTAATCATTCATGAAATGTACATCTAACTCTCAATAGATCATTAGACTTGGACCCTGTGGTAAGAATAACATGACAATAAAATTTTATCATTAGTGCATAGAAAATTATTCTCAATAACAAGGAGAAATGTGGCAAGATGATCAAAGACATTATCTAGCCATTAAGACAAAAGTTAGTGATCCACATTATTCTGATTTTATTGAACTTGAAGTCATCACCTAAACATCCCCCAAGTCATAATCATCACAGTGGTCTCCAGCACAGACTTCACTCATAACCAGTAGTGACTACTGAATACCCACAGCCTCAGTACAGAACCAGAGTCTGCCTAGGCTCACAGACAATGAGGAGAGTGCCCAAGGTGGATAATTAGCCCTGCCTAAAGCCTGCCTAATTCCACACGTGCCTGAAAACTCAGATCTACAAGGACAAAAACACCCTGTCCTCTAGGGGGTGATGATCCTCAGATGGATCTAGATTGGAACTCTAACTTTGAAAGAAGGTCTGAATACTCTGTGCTGGGCACACCTTGGCAGCCTACCCTTCTCATAGAAACCCTTATGTAGTTCCTGGTACAGAAAATCTAAGATCAAGAGGGCAGAAGGAAGAGACTACAATGGTCAAGAGGAAGCCCCTCCACCACCATCCAGAGCATCACACTGGCACTCTGGCACATGTGTAGGCTGTGGGAAAGTGTCTGAGGAGACAACAGCAGAAAGTGAAGTTAGAAATGCATGTCATTATTTCAAGGCATTTTATATTATGCTAAGCAGTTCTGAATTTGTCATCTAGACCACTGTAAACCACGGAAGGGATTTCTGAAGGATGAAATTTACGGCTTCCTTTGCCAAATTAGAACAATGCATCTTCATGGGTGATTCACCCATGACTATGTAAATCACAAAGACAGTCATGAAATTCAGTATATACATGTAAAGTTTGAAAAAAAACAGCAACAATTGTGATAGTATTTGGCAGACTGGATCAGCTGTTTCTTTTTAGTGTCAAAAAGTCAATGAAGCTAGGCATGGTGGGGCATACTATATAATCCCTGAACTTTGGAGGTAGAGGATCATGATCTCAAGGCCAACCTTGACTGTATCATAATACTCTGTCTCAAAAAGAGAGAGAGAAGTACGAGGAGGAGGAGAAAAGCCTTGATCATCCTATCAAAGCTTGAGAGATGGCTCATTGGTTAGGATCATGCACTGCTCTTGCTAAGAACTCTAGTTCGGTTCCCAACACACTGTCAGTGGTGTACTAGGACCTGTAACTCCATCTCTGAGGGGATCTGACATTCTGGGCTCCTCAAGCTCTTCTGCTCTTGTGCCCTTGACCACACACAGACACATATACATAATTTTAAAAATAATAAAAATAAAAAGTTGACTAGCCAACGGGCATAGGTGGCAACACATCTCTTCTCCTGCCTGTCACCTTGGAGGTGGGTGGAAGAAGTTGCATTTTCTGTTTTAATTCACAATTACCCAACTCAAGCTCACTGAAATGTTCTCTTGTTTAAAAGAGGTTGAATCCTTTCTCATGAAATCTGCTACAGGCAAAACTTCACAACCTCTGCTGCCTAAAGAAACCCCTTACAGCTCTAAGGTAACATCATGTTAGGCATCCCCTCTGCACATGTGTGTCCTGCCCAGGAGAGTATGACCCTGTTCGTCTCTCTGAAAGGAACTTGAACCTCAGATTACATGCTTAGAGGTAATCATTACAAACTTGGGCAAAAGAAAAATCAAGAACTTTGACTCATGTTCTCACTCTAACAAAAAAGGAAAGAGGGAAGAGAAAGGATGAAGGGACATCATGCAGACCTGAAATGGAAATTAATATGTCAAAGCCAGATTAAATACCATCAATGATTTATCTCCAAGGAAACATGAAATGGAACTTTTAAAAATTGAGGGAGTAGGAGCTTTGGTCGCCCATGCTGGCTTTGAACACACTGTATAACAGAGGCTGTCTGTGAACTTCTGATCCCCCTGCCTCTACTTCCTAAATGTTGGGATTATAGGTGTGTACTACCATGCCTGGATCAGGATAAAGTATTACGTGTCCCTATGTCATTCCTCCTTTAAAGACTCTTGACTTCCTGGGCCTGGAGTGGTAGGATACATGCTGAGCAGGAACAAGGCTGTGACTTCAATCCCCACACCAAGGAGATACTTTCTTCTTGGTATTGAGCACAACTCGCTAATGGAACTAAAGTTGTAAACGATTTTCTAATGAATTTTCTACCAATGAATGAAGTCTTTAGAAAACAATATGATATGCTTGCAATTTTTTCCCTAGGGATTTGGGAATTAATAGGATTGAAATTCTTCCACGGAACATATTTAAGGACCTGAAGGAGCTGTCACAATTGTAAGACATTAACTTATCACTTCCTTTCTTTACCTTATTTTTTAATTGTGGTAAAATACACATAGCATTGATTCATTCATCTCAATCATTGAATCACATCAAGATCTTCCATACTGTTGGTCAACTCTCACCAATATCCACTTCCATACATATACAAAGCTGAAACACTGTAACCATCCAGCTCTAACTCCATATTCATCCTTCCCCAGCCCTGGCAACCACGATTGTACTCTATCTCTACATGTCATAGTTGCCTTTTTGTGACTGGCTTACTTTTCTTACCATATCAACATTGTGCATCAATGTTACAGTATGTGTCAGAATTCCCTTTGCCTTTAAGGCTGAATAATAAACCTCATACACTATGTACCATCGTCTGCCAATGTGTGGTACTTAGGTTGCTTTCACCTTTTGGCTAGTTTGAATAATGCTATTATGAACACAAGTATGCAAGTTTATGTCTGGATGTCTACATTCAGTCATTTGGGTTCTGTTGTTCTTCTCAACACTCAGCATAAATCAACTCACATCATAAATCATAACTGTTAGGTTTAAAGTTCACTTAATACATCTACCTTATCAACTATTGTAACTTAGGAACCAGTGCACTAGTTAGTAGTAGTTTTATACTCTTGTGTTTCCATGGCTGGCTTCGACCTGCAGCACACACTATATAACGCATACTGCTAGCCCAAGGAAAGATCAAAGAGGATCTTTGTCTTTGTCCATTTCTCCCTTCCTTCCTTCCTTCCTTCCTTCCTTCCTTCCTTCCTTCCTTGCTGTATTAAAATTCAAGTATGCGAGCACTCTACCACTAAACTGTATCACCTCCCTTAACACTTCTACTAAAGGTATATTGCTTTTACATCATTGTAAAGTGAAAAATAATAAGCTAGAGGTCATCTATATACTCCCAGATAGTTGGTGATTGGGTCATGTAGTAATCCTACTTTCATTCTATTTAATTCTATTTCCTACCAGAGTTGTGTCATCTTACATCTCTACTATCCGTACACAGGGTTCTAATTTCTACAATCCCAAGTTTTCATTTTTGTGGCTCATAACCATCTTAACTGAGAATCCTTGAGGGTCTGATTTTCATTGCTGTGATACGAGTGATGTTGAGGAATCTTCCCCGTGTGTTTGTTCACCTGTCTGTCTTTTGGGTTAGGGAGCGGGGGGTGGGGGAGGACTACTCGGGTGCTTCATTCATTCCTACATGAGTTTTTTGCACTTGCTGTTTTAGTGCTTCCTACATCCTGGGTATCAGCCCTACAGACATAGGACTTGTATTTTCCCCCTATTGTGGGTGGCATTTCCCCTGTCGTTCTTCCTTAATTTTAATACACTGCCATTTTTATCTTTTACTTTATGGTCTATATTTTTTAGTTTCATGTACAGATACTGCAGAATCTGTGCAATGCAATTTTTCCTGTATTTTATTCTAGTTTGTTAGCTTTATATTTTAAGCATGTGATTTGAGTACATGGTTTAGAAGGGTCTAATTCTATTTATTTGCATGAGAATATCCAATTTTCCCAACACTATTTGTTGAAAAGATTGTCCTTTCCTTGAGGAATGTCTTTGGCACCTGTGTCAAAAATTATCTGAGTAGGGTTGTTCCTGGGCTCCCGTTTGTCCACATAGCTGTAGATTACTGTGCAAAACCTAACTTTCTTGTTCTTCTTTCAAGGTTGCTTTTGCTATTTGGGTTCCTTTGATGTCTTATATGAATTCATAAACTTTAACATGGACTTCCAGTGCCATGAACAACATTATCTTCCCCCTCATTGGTGTTGAGCTAGTCCATTTTCTGCTACTTTGACAGAATACCGCAGTCTGGCTGATTTATAAACAATAGAATTTTGTGTGGCTCACTATTCTTGAGGTTCAGAAGTTCAAAAGTCAAGGCCAAATCTAGTGAAGTGTAATCTCGTCCTCAGCTATACCTTGTCTCTAATTCTGGTTAATTCTAATTCTGAGTGTGCTTTACACATCTGCTGGCCACTTGTGTGTCTTCTTTTGGGAAATATCTGCTCCGATTCTTTGTCTATTTCTTAATCAGATTATTTGTCTTTTTACCATTTTGTTGAATTCCTTATATCATTTAGATATTAAGCCCCCTGATATATGCTTTGCATAGGTAGGGATCTGGCTCGGTGGTAGAGTGTGTGCTTACAGTCCCTAGAACAAAACAAGGGAGTGAAGGAAAGGACAGATGGCTTTACAGATCAATTCTTCATACTATAGACTTCTTTTAGGGTGTGAAGAAGATTTTTAGTTTAATGTGGACCTCTTTGTCTCTTGTTGCTTTTATTGTCTGCATTTTGGAAGTCATATCCAGGCTTTTGCTGTCTGAGTTTTAAAAGTCACTGCCAGGCCACTGTCATTGGTGTCTTCCTCTGTGTTCTTATATTTAAATCTTCAAAATACTTGGAGCTGTGCTATAATTTTTTTTGGTAAATATTTCAAATTCATTCAAAACCAACAAATAAATTTTCTTGGCCCAAGAAATTGTTAGGAATAACTCAATGCTGCCTTTTTTTTAAAACAGAAATATATCCTATAATCCAATCCAGAAAATTGAAGTAAATCAATTTGATTATCTTGTGAAACTGAAGTCTCTGTAAGTATATTCATATACAGTTTTGCTTCAATACTAATATCATGCATGTTTTCATGTCTTTTACTTTAGTTTTATTTCCAGCTCCACAAAAATATATGAGTTCTCGATGAGCTATAGACAGATAGTTATTACTTCTACCTCAAGCATTAATAAGCTAAAACTTAAATGATAATGAATCTCTACATATCTCTCTGTCACCAGGATCTTATATTGAATTGTGCAATTACACTCTCTGAACGTATGGGGCACAGTCATTACTCTATTAATTCTGAATACTTAAGATTTTCTATAGGCATATGTCCTAGTTTGCTTCTTCATTTCTGTAATTAAATGCTGACCAAAACAACTTGGGGAGAAATGGGTTTATTTGGCCTATAGGTTACAGTTCATCATTGGGGAAAGCCAAGGAAGGAACTTGGGGCTTAAAGCAGAAACCATGGAGGAGTGCTGCATGAAGAAATGTCACTTACTGGCTTGCTCCCCCAGCTCTCTCTGCAGGCTTTCTTACACAGCCAAGGGCCACATTCCCATATCAATCATTAATCAAGAAAACATGATATGCTCACAGATATGCCCACTGGCCAAAATGATTAAGGCAATTTCCTGAAGAGGTTCCCTCTTCCTAACTGTGTAAAGTTGAAAGCCAAGATTAGTATCCTTACCCTAAAATGGAATTTTCCAGACTATGTAAATCATGCCTCCCACAACACAAAAGTGACAAAACTTCTATTAGTGTCTAGGAATTGTCTTTAAAATATAAGCCACAATTTATCGTATTTAACTATTCTACTGTAAAATAGCACTTTATTAGAAAAAGATAAGACTTAAAAAGATATTAGAAAAATTTAAAGATGGGCAGAATATAATGTGTATACACTTATTCAACAAATATTTGTTGACCAGTTAGCATACATTGGGCATTATATCATGAACTGTGAAAATTTAAAAGCAGGATATACATGTCTATAAACTGAGGAAGCGTTTAAGTAGCCTGAGTCTGAGCATTTCACTTAGAATAATATGAACTTAAAGCATTTTACTACATTGTCCTTCACAAAAAAATAATTATTTTATTATGCTGTAGATAACATGTTCTTTTGACTATTACTTGGTATTTTTTAGCAGTCTAGAAGGAATTGAGATTACAAATATCCAACAAAGGATGTTTAGGCCTCTCACGAATCTCACTCACATGTAAGTAGGTGTTTTCTTGTTGTTCACTTTGATTTCAATGTTTATATCCCCACATGTATTATGATAACATACCCATACTAAATGTAAATGAAATATCAATAATTGCTGCTACTTTGCCTCTGCATGCTTAGTATTTGTGTCCCTCTTCCAAACTGTATATTGCAATGTTAACCCCAGAGTGATGCTATTATTAAAAGTTGAAGCCTTGAAAAAGTGATTGGTTCCCAAAATCAGAATCTTCATGAACAATGCTAGTGTCTTTTTAAAACAAGATTGAAAACTAGGGGTGGTGGTGCACGCCTTGGGTCCCAACACATGGGAGGCAGAGGCAGATGGATCTCTGAGTGTGGCACCAGCCTGATCTATATGGAGAATCCTAACCTAGTCAGGAATTCATAGGGAAACCCTGTCTCAAAACTAAAATGAATTGAAGGAAGAATGAGCTAGTTCTGGGTTTGATGGGTTCCCAGCAAGTGGCAGGAGGGAGAGAGGGAGGTCTGCTGGGGAGTGTACCTGCTTTGAAGGCATAAGTGCACCAGCACCCATGGAAACCTAGAACCATGTGAGCCTGTGACCAAAGTACTCGATGTGGTCAGAGACGAGATTACTGGGGCTTGCTAAGTGACCAGCCTAGCTATGGTTTCAGTGAGAGGTTTTGTAATAAGGAAAGTAAAAGAGGGAAACTTCCTAACTTCTCCTTAGATCTCTGCCATGAATGAACACACAAAGAGAGGAAAAAAAATAATGAAATTGAAAATATCAAACTTAGGAAAGGAAAAAGAGGAAGGGAGAGAGGAAGGGAGGGAGGAAGAAAGGAGGGGAAGGAGAGAGGGACGAAGGGAGGGAAGGAGGGAGGGAGGGAGGGAGGGAGGGAGGGAGGGAGGGAGGGAGGGAGGGAGGGAGGGAGGGAGGGAGGCAGCAGGAAGAGTGTACCATCCACCTTGAGAAGACACAATAAGAATGTATCAGGAAGCAGCACTTTACTTCACGGGACACCTAATCTGCTGGCTCTTTGACCTTGAACTCACCAGCATGGAGAACTGAGAAGTAAATGTTCATTGTTCAAGTTTCCAGTCTATGGGGTTTTTCAGCAGGCTAAATGGTCTCTAACATCAGTAGTCAATAATTAACTCTAAAAGCTTGACATTAGGTAGTTTTCCACACTCTGATAAAATTTTATGGACAATTTTTCAAATACCAAGAAACACAAATAAGAGAGAGTCTACTCAGCCTTGCAAGACACTCTCATCTCTGATACCAGTCACAGATACTGATTTTACCCAACAAGCTAGTAACACATACTTTTTATATAAGTGCCACCAGGTGAAGAAATAAGAATGTATATAAGTAATATAAAACAATTACAAATAAGGCTGGGGAGATGGTTCAGCAGGTAAAAGTGCCTGAGTTCAGATCCTTGGGACCCAATTAAAAGAAAAAGTAGCATGTGGTCTATGATCTCAGCATGGCTCGAGTGAACTGGGAGACAGAAGACAGGAGAATCCACCTTGAAGCTTGGCAGCCAGATAACCTGGAATATAAAATGTAGCAACAAACCAGAGAGATTCTGCCTCAAAAACTGGGTGAGAAGTCAGGCCTAACACCTGAAGCCATTCTCTCACCTACACACATCATGACACATATGATTCTTCACTCAGTCAGGTATATACATACATCTCACACAACACACACACACATATAGATATTCACTTGTAACAATTATTTATTTCTACTTTTTAAGTATTATATATGATATATTTATATGTGATATATTCATATAAATATATAATATATAAACACATATTTTTAAAATTAGAAATAAATTGTTACTACAAATTGAAGGTGGGAGAGCTGGTCCCCGGTGAAAACTGTCCCTAATGTCAGAGTATGACTGGAGCACATTCATGGAAGAAATTGTAACCTTTGAAAATTCTGTGCAGTGTGTCTTGCTTTGCATCGATTGTAAGCTTCATAAATATTTGAGTGAAGATCATAGCAAGTCCTAGACTGCCCTTCACACTGTGGTAATTTCAATGACTGAGAAGTGCATTGTCAGCCACACTGCAATCTTCCTTGCACTGTGAATCTAACACAGGACATTGTCTCATTCCTATGACTTCTCAGAGACAAGGTTTTTATAGGCTTCTTGGATTGCTCACAGCATAACAGTCTGACCAAGAAAAACTGAGTAGCTCACAAAATCTAGAAATAACTAAAAGCAGAACCTGAATTGGGTAGGGATCATGGGAACAAGAGTTGAACAGTGATCTTAGCCAAACCCTGCTGAAATAAGCCATTCACACTCTATCAACAAGGCTCAGGGTTCCTCGTAGGACGTTTGCCTACCCTGGGCAAGGGGACAGCCTCCACTATACATCCACCATAGGTGCTGTGGCTAGAGAATGGCTTCCCTCAGAAGAAACCAAGACACTTTTGCTAAAAGATGAGTCTGTGCTAAGCAGCCAAACTAGCAAACAAGTATCTGCTTATGTTATGTTAATGAAAACAATTCACCCCAGACCTTAAAACAAGAAACATCAAGTCCTTCCTTATATTCTGTCCCACCCCATCATAGCTCACAGAGAAATGCAAACAACCAGATGGACAAACCAGCAGCTGACCTTGCCTTTGTCAAGACATAAAATGACCATCTGCCCTGCATCATTTACACTGTAACTGTACACTGTAACTTTTTACACTGTGGAGATAATTTCTTTTTTTTCCCCCACCACTCTTTACCTGTGAGGCAGACTGACACAGTCTGAATTCTAACCTCTACTATTACTAGAAATTTTTCTCAGTTAGTTTTCCTCCAATGAAGATTTGACTATTATAGTAATACTAACCTAATCTCATGGAGTTCATTACAGAATTAGTGGTACTTGTGTTGCTGCTTACACAACAACTATTCTTGTATATCTGGGTTATGTCTTTACCAACGTGGGTATCTACAGATGAATGACTTCACTCAACATTTTTTTTAAGATTTATTTATTTACTATGAATACAGTGTTCTGCCTGCATGTATCTATGCAGGCCAGAAGAGGGCACCAGATCTCATTACAGATGGTTATGAGCCACCATGTGGTTGCTGGGAATTGAACTCAGTACCTCTGAAAGGGTAGCCAGTGCTCTTAACTTGTGAGTCATCTCTCCAACCCTTTAGTCAACATGTAATTCTTCATTGTGTTTCAGAATACAGTGAGTAATAGATATGCTTAGCAGTTATTAATAATAACTTGATATAACATTGTGTTACAACTTCTGTAACAAAAAAGCTGTGAAAGCAAGGAGAAAGCATTTAATTTTTCCTCTAAGAGCCAAGCGTTAAGATCAGCTGTGGCAACACTATGGTTACAAGAGCTTCATAACTGTGTGTTTATATGGACTGAATTCTGGAAACAACCACTGGAAGCCCCTTTGGATAAATTCTTTCTCATATTCACAAGCTAACCAATTGTACATATGCTAAGGCACATCTAATGTGTATTCATTACACATGCTTTAAGTTCTTATCTGCACATTCTTCGTTTGCTTATTTATTTATTGGTTTTTAACTATAGACCAGGCTGGCATCGAACTCACAAAGATCTGCCTGCCTCTTTTTAATTCTTAAAATTTTGTTTGCTTATTTATTTATTGGTACATTCTTCTACTGTAAGTGAATAAGAATTAAATTTTGGTAAGGAATGTTTTCTGTTCCACTGAATCTTATATGACCACATTTTATATTGAGAACAAATAGCAATGATGTTTAACTTAGTGTTAAGCATATGCTCTAATTTTATCTTCTATTTGTACATCAGATATTTTAAGAAGTTTCAGTACTGTGGATATGCACCACATGTGCGAAGCTGTAAGCCCAACACGGATGGGATCTCATCTTTTGAGAACCTCTTGGCAAACATCATCCAGAGAGTTTTTGTCTGGGTTGTGTCTGCAGTCACCTGCTTTGGAAACATTTTTGTCATCTGTATGCGGCCATACATCAGGTCTGAGAACAAGCTACATGCCTTGTCCATCATTTCTCTCTGCTGTGAGTATTTCCTGGTTAAAGAGGAAACAGGTTTGAAATGGGCAAAAATCATTGCTATGACAAAATAAATTCTGTGGGGCTGAAAATATGGTTCAGTCGTTAAGAGCACATACTGCTCTTCCAGAAGGTCCAAGTTGGGTTCCCAGCACCCATGGGTGATGGCTCACAATAGCTTGTAACTTCAGCTCTGGGGACTTCAACACCTCTGGCCTCCAAATACGTAAATAGGGAAATGTTTCCAGGTAGTCTTTTTTTTTTTTTTAAGTTTTCAAAATATGATTGTAAAGTATTTTGTTAAATGGCCATGTTAACTATTCCAGACACTGCTCAAAGCCTGTGTCTAATTTGTTTTCACTGAAGCTATGATGTGTGAGAAACAGAACCCAACAAAATGTTTACAACTTTGTATGGTTAACTAAAAAATATCAATCAGGTTCAGCAAGAAGATAACTGCATTGTTTAAAAATCAGGGTCAATGCTTACAAAGGAAAAATTAGTTTTCTCCAATGGAACCTCACTGAGTATATTAAACACACACACACACTACTTAAAAAGTAGAAATAAATCATTGTTAAATGTGTGTGTGTGTGTGTGTGTGTGTGTGTGTGTGTGTGTGTGTGTGTGTGATGCTCTTAACTTGCTGAGCTGGGAGAACTTCAGTGGAAGAGCTAAACCAAATAATTTCCCTCCCATCTAAGTCCATAACCGAATGTACTGCATAACCCATTTCATTGATTCGTTTTATACTGCCAAGTGATGGGGCTAGATGAGACCAAAACAGAGAGGATCTCTATCTAATCTTATAGACTGACACTGTAAGGAAGACAGAGAGATGATTTTATAATTAACTATAGTCTTCTCTTTTTATTTATTTATTTATTTATTTATTTATTATTAAAGCCTTCGTTACATTTATTTAATGGATAATACAATAACCATCTCAGAAGTCTTTTTCTTCAGCAGATGTTTGAGCCCCTTGCTTAAACATGGATCTTTACTCAGTCAATAATATGATTTTCTTACTGTAGTGCATTCTTAAGTTCTTCCTCCTTACAAAAATGAACCCAACCCACACCTCTGTGAAAGCCAGTCTCTCTGTTAAAAGGTATATTACACTTTTTTACATGGCCAAACTGAGCAAAATGTTCTCTCAGCTCATTCGTCGACGCGGTCCAAGGAATTTTCCTGATAAAAGCAGCATGCTGACCAGCACGCACATGCAGCACCAACCACTGCTCGACCCAGGGCGGAGACTGCCATCTTAAAAACTCTAGTCTTCTCTTTTTAATATCTTTTATTTTAATTTAATTTTTAACTATGTCTATGTATGTTAGTGCATATGTGTGAGTTTCCAAGGAGGCCAGAGGCATCTGATCCTCTAGAGTTGGAGTTACAGGCAGTCGGCTGCAAATCAACTGACATACTGAAGGGAGTGCCCACTCCTAACTGCTTAGCTGTCTCTGCAGCAGGGAAAAGTCTTCTGTAACAGTGGTTACAGAAGGGATTAGTGGGTCTTCATCCAAGTTAGGGATTTGCTTGGTCTTGGGGGTTGAAGCCAGAGATTCTTCATTGATATTAAGCAAGCACTCTGCTGCCAAGCTATATAGCCAACCCATGAATTCTTCAGAATGTTTTGTGTAAAGATAAGCATACTTTGTGTTTCTCTGAACCTGCAAACTTCGGATTCTTGTAGGCGCTGATTGCCTAATGGGAGTATATTTATTTGTGATCGGAGCCTTTGACCTCAAGTTTCGGGGAGAGTACAACAAATATGCCCAGCCATGGAAGGACAGTCCTCATTGTCAGTTCATGGGGTCTCTGGCCATTCTGTCCACGGAAGTGTCTGTTTTACTGTTAACATTTCTGACCCTGGAAAAATACATCTGCATTGTGTATCCTTTCCGGTGTTTAAGGCCCCGGAAGTGCAGAACGATCACAACTTTGACTTTCATCTGGATTATTGGGTTTATAGTAGCCTTTGCTCCGCTCATCCACAAGGGATTCTTTAAAAACTACTATGGCGCCAACGGAGTGTGCTTTCCTCTCCACTCAGAAGACTCGGGAAGTACTGGAGCCCAGATTTACTCAGTGGTGATTTTTCTAGGTAAGAACAACCTTTGTGTTTTCCAACTCTTGCTAGAGGATTTCACAGTAGAAAACTCATTTATGCCTTCTATATTTACGAACTTTTGTCCTTCTAATCTGCGACTGTAGGGGTGAACACAATCAGAATACCCAAGGAGAATTTCTTCCCTCAAATAACACTTTTATCATTTAAATTCCAATTTGTTGCATTCAATAAAGGGCATTAAACAATTATATTTCATATACTCCGATGATATAAACATGATGATATTTGTTTCAGATTCCTATGTACATAGCTTTGGCTTCACCATATATGTGAAACTGTTCTAAACCAAAAAATGAAAATATTCTCAAAGTACATCACAGGGTTTTTAGAATATCATAAAATATCTTCAATATTAGAAAGCAAATGATCTATGTTTGTCGAATGTATTTAATATGTAAATTAAAAACAAACATATCATCCTTTGTTACTTCAACAGTATTTCAGAGTCAAAAGAACTCAGCACTGCTGTGTACCTTAGTAATTCTAGAAGAAAAATAAATTTTAAAAAAGACTACATTAAACGTTAGGCATAATGGTACACATTGGGTTTTTGTGGGTGGCAGTATCTTTTATTTTTTATTGAAAATAGATATTTTATATAATATATTCTGATTCCCTCCCCTCCCTACCCACCCAAACCCAAACCCTTTCTTGCTCTTTCCTTATAAAACATATTAAATATTAATAATGGTAATATTAAATAAATACAAATCAGAATAGGAGAAAAAAGCCAAAGAAAATGCGTAAGAGTCAGGTGGTGTTGACACACACCTTTAATCCCAGCACTCAGGAGGCACAGGCAGTTGAGGGAGTTCCAGGACAGCCAGGGAGAGAGACCCTATCTCAGAAAACATAAAAAGAAAGAAAGAAAATTAAAATGAACAAGAAACACATATAGATGCACCCATATTTGCAAACAGAGAACTCCCATAAAAACACAAATCCAGAAACCATTAGATATATAAGCAAAAGACCTATAAGGCTAAAAACAATTCCAAAAGATACCATTAAGTTCATCATGTATTGGCCATCTATCGTTGGCCATGGAGCTTGTCCTTATGTGTGGTTTGAATACTCAGACTTTGTTGAAAAAAAAAAAACTAAGTTTTTCTTTGTGAGCAGTAATCATTGAAGACAGCTTCTGGGTTAGGGATGGGCCTTCTGTCTATTTCCCCTCTCAGGGCTGGGACCCTGTCTGGCTTAGACCAGTGTAGGGCCTGTGCACACTGTCACAGTTTTCAGGGAGTTCATATTTGTGCCAGCCCTGTTGTGTCTAGAAGGCCTCATTCCCTTAGGCGTTTTTCCATACTCATAATCATTCCACCTCCACTTCCATGGAGTTTCCTGTGCCCCAAGGAAATAAATTTGATGGAGACATCCTATTTAGCACTGAGTATTCACAGGTCTCTTCTCTGCATGCTGTTCAATTGTGGGTCTCTGTATTTGTTCCCTTCTACTGCAAGAAGAGTCTCTAATGATGGCTGAGCAAGACATTGACCTATGAGTACAATAGAATATCATTAGGAGTCATTTTATTGTTACATTTCTTTAACAGAATAGCAGCATTTGGTTTTCCCTTAAGTCCCTGGCCTATCTGGTATCAGGTCCTTGGCTACCCAAGCATGGGCTCCATCTCACAGAGTGGGGCTCTAATCAGACAGTGCTTGGTTAATCTCACAATCTTTGTGCCACTATTGTACCAGAGTATCTTGCAGTCATGTCAACATTATAGATTGTAAGGTTTGTAGCTTGATTAGTGTTTACCTTTCTCCTCTAGTAGTGTGCAGAGTGACTTCTGGTACCAGGAATACTAGTCAATAGGAGGTGAAGGCTCTAGGTAGGCACTAGCATGTTTTCTCTGTGTTCAAGGAGACATGTAAGTGTAGTCTTCAGTGTACCTTCAGTTTGTGGAGAACAACCAATAGCCTTGGCAACAGCCTGGGTTGTTTGGGTTTTCTGTGGGGCTCCTTTGACCAACCCCGTTCTTGGCACTGAAGGTTTCATTTAGTAGTGAAAGATATCTAGTTGGGGCATTCTCTCCCCCATTATTTGGGGATTCCATTTAAATTTCTTTCATAGGTGTATATGTTTTTAAAATCTACTGCAGTAGGTTTGCATATGACCCTACAACTGGCCTTTAGTTTTAGCTGTCCCTCCACGTAATCTCTCCCTTACTCCTTTTCCCTCTTCACCCCCTCCCCATTTGATCCTCCCATTTCAGTTCCCACCCCATACCCATCAATTCATAACTATCTATTCTATTTCCCCTTCATAGGGAGATTCTTTCCTCCCACCCCAGTAGCTTATTTTATAGCTATCCTCTGTGAGTATATGATACTCTGCTCAAGGCCTTAAGCACTAACATTGCATATATGTGAATACAGACCATATTTATCTCTCTACATCTGGGATACCTCACTGAGAATGATTTTTTTCCCTAGTTCTATTCATTTATCTATGAATTTCATGAATTTTTTTTGGGGGGGTTTAGCAGCTCAGTAATATTCTATTATGTAAATGTATTACATTGTCTTTATGTACTCATCAGTTGGTGGACATTTAGACTGTTTCCAATTTCTGACTTTGATGAGTAGAGCTGCAGTGAACATGGTTGAGCAAGTGTCTCTGTAGTGGTAGGGTCCTCTGGGTATGTGCACAAGAATGGTGTAGCTGGATCTTGAGACAGATCTATGCATAAGCATCCTGAGGAACTGCCATACCAATTTCAATTATGTATGTACAAGTTTGCACTCCAGAAGTTGATAACTCTTCCCTTTATCCCGCATCCTTGCCCGCATGAGTTGCCATTTATTTTATTGATCTTGGCAATTCTGACTGTGTAAAATAAAATTTCAAAGGTGTTTTGATGTGTATTTTCCTGATGACTAAGGATGGGGAACATTCCTCTAAATGTTCCTGAGCCATTTGTGTTTTCTCTTTTGAAAACTGTCCTTTTAGATCTTGACCCCACTTTTAATTGGGTTATTTTCTTGATGACCAGTTTTTTTTTTTTTCTTTTTAGTTCTTTATATATTTTAGATATTGGATATGCCACTAGGAAAAATCTATGGCCTGCTGCTTTGCTTGAATGATGGTGTCCTTTGCCATACAGAAGCTTGTCAGTTTCATGAGATCCCATTTATTAATTATTGTTAGAAGTGCATATGCATAAAGTCTTTTCCTGTGATAAAGACTATTTCCCACTTTCTCATCTATCAGATTCAGGGAATTTGGCCTAATGTTGAGGTCTTTGATCCACTTGAACTTGAGCTTTGTGCAGGGTGACAGATATGAATCCATTTGAATTCTTCTGCATACAGTCATCCAGTTTGATCAGCACCATTTGTTGAAGATGTCTTTTTTTCCAGTGTATATTTCTGACTTCTTTATCAAAAAATCAGGTATCCATGGGTATGTGGAATTATTTCTAGATCTTTCATTTAATTCTATTGATCAACATGTCTGTTTTAATGCCAATACAATGCTGCTTTCATTACTATGGCTCTATAGTACAATTTGAGATCACGGATGGTGATGCCTCCAGCAGATCTCTTATTATTCAGAATTGTTTTAGTTGTCTAGGTTTTTCTGTTTCCATATGAAGCTAAAAATAGTCTTCAATTTCTGGGAAGAATTGTGCTGTAATTTTGATGGGGATTGCAGTGAATCTGTAGATTTCTGTAGATTGGATGTCATTTTCACTATATTAATCCTACCAATCAATGAGCATTAGTAATCGTTCCATTATTTGATATCTTCAGTTTCTTTATTCAATATCTTAAAGTTTTTATTATAAAAGTCTTTCACTTACTTCATTAGAGTTACTCCAAGATATTTTATTTTATTTTGAGACTGTTGTGAAGGGTGTTGTTTCACTGACTTCTTCCTCGGTCCATTTGTCATTTGTTGAGAGGGAGGCTGCTGATTTTTGTGAGTTGTTTGTATCCTGCTACATTGCAGAAAGTGTTTATCAGCTATAGAAGATTCCTGATGGAGTCTTTGGTTCATACTATGATATCATCTGCAAATAAAGATATTTTGACTTCTTCCTTTTTTATTGTAATCCTCTGATCTCCTTCAGTTGTTCTAGCTAAGATTTCAAGTTCTGCGTTGAAAGAGTATGGAGTGGACAACCTTGTCTTGTTCCTGACTGCAGTGTAAATGCTTTGAGTTTCTCTCCATCTAAGTTGATGTTGGCTGTATAAATTGCCTTTATTATGCTTTGTTATGTGCCTTCTATCCTTAGCCTCTCCAGGACTTTTATCTTAAAGGGGTGTTGGATTTTGTCAAAGGCCTTTTCTGTATTTAATGAGGTAATCATGTAGCCTCTGTCTTTCAGTCTGTTTATATGGTAGATTATATTAATTTATTTATTTGTGTTGAGCAATTTCTGCATATAAATGATGAAGCCTACATGGTCGTGGTAGATTATCTTTTTGATGTGCTCTTGGATTCAATTTTCAAGTACTTTTTTGAGAATTTTTGCATCTATGTTAAAGGAAAACTGGTCTGTGATTCTCTTTCTTTGTTAGGTCTTTGTGTGGTTTAGGTACCTGGGTAGCTGTGACCTTGTAAGAATTAAGCCATGTCCCTTCAGTTTTGATTTTTGCAGAATAGTTTGAGGAATATTGGTGTTAATTCTTTGTTTAAAGTGTGGTAGAATTCTGTGCTGAATCAATCTGGCCCTGAGGTTGCCTTGGTTGGGAGACTTTAGGTACCATTTCTATTACACTGGGGTTTGTAGGTCTATTTAAATTGTTTATTTGATCTTGATCTAATTTTGGTAGATGATATGTATTGAGAAATTTATCCATTTCTTTTAGATTTCCCATTTAGTGAAGAACAGATTTTTAAAGTATATTGTTACAATTCTCTGGATTTCCTCAGTGTCTGCTATTATACCCCACTTTTAGTTTCTAACTTCATGAATTTGAATCTTTTTTCTACACCTTTTAGTTAGTTTGGCTAAGGGTTTACCAACCTTATAAATTTTATTTATTTAATTTTTGGGTGGGTGTGGTTCATGACAGGTTTTCTCTGTGTAGCCCTGGTTGCCCTAGAACACACTCTGTAGACCAGGCTGCCCTCGAACTCAGAGATCAGGGTGATATGACTGTTTTCTAAAGAAAAAATAAATAAATAAATAAATAAACAAAAAAACCTCTTCATTACATTGATTTTTTGCATTGTTTTTGTTGTTGTTATTTTTATTTTCATTGATTTCAGCCCTGGGTTGGATTATCTTGCCCTCTACTCTTTTTGGGTATGATTTCTTCTTTTTGTTCTGGCTTTCAGGTGTGCCATAAAGTTCATAATATGAGGCCTCTCCAACTTTTTTATGTAGACACTTAGTGCTATGAACTTGCCTCTTAGATTTGCCTTCATTGGATATGTTGCATTTTTATTTTGATTCGCTTCTAAAAAAGGTTTTTTTTTTTTTTTTCTTCTATATTGACCCATTTTTCACTCAGGGTTGAGTTGTTCAGTTTCCATGAGTTTGTAAGCTTTCTGTTATTTTCATGTTCTTGATGTCCAGCTTTAATCTGTGCTGGTGAAATAGGATGCAGAGAATTTTTTCAATTTCCTTAAATCTTTTGAGACTTGCTTGTTTCTGTGTTTGTGGTCAGTTTTGAAGGAAGTTCCATGAGATGCTGAGAAGGATTAATCTTTTGTGCTTGGGTGAAGTGTTCTTTAAATATAGGTTAGGTCCATTTGATTTATGACATAATTTAGCTCTAGCATTTCTCTGTTTAGTTTTTTTCTGGATGACATTGATGTCACCTACTAGCACTGTATAAGGGGCAATACATGATTTTAGCTATAATGATGGTCTCTTTTATGAACTTGTTTTTTTATATATACATAGATGTTTAGTATGGCAATGTCCTCTTGGTGGATGTTTTTCTTTGATGAGACTGTAATGTCCTTCTCTATCTCTTTCGATTAGCTTTGGTTTGAAATCTATCTTGTCAGATATTAAAATGGCTATTCCAGCTTGCTTCTTAGGTCTAGTTGCTTGGAATACCTTTTTCCATCCTTTACCTGGAGGCAATATCTATCCATGATGTTAAAGTGTGTTTCTTGGATGCAGCAGAATGATGGGTCCTCTGCATCTTTTTATTGAGGGAGTTGAGTCCATTGATGTTGAAAGCTGTCGGTGAGCAGTGTTTGTTCATTCCTGTTATTTTGATGTTATGGTGTGGAGTTTTTCCCCTCTTTTGATTAACTGGTCTAGGATCATTTATTTCTTATGTTTTCTTAGGAGTGGTTACTCTTCAGGTTGAAGTTTTCCTTCTAGTGCCTTCTACAGAGGTAGATTTGTAAATAAATAAATTTTCTTTTATTATGGAGTGTTTTTCTTCATCTATTGTTATTGAAAGTTTTTCCGGGTACAGTAATCTGAAATGGCACCTGTGATCATCTCTTAGAGTTTATAAAACATCCCTCTATGCCCTTCTGGCTTTTAGAGTCCACCTATGTGTTGATCTCAGGTCTTGTCTGTGATGGGTTAGTGTTCCATTCCTTGGTTTCTGTTGTCCTCTCTGGATCCTAGGAGCTGGTAGCTGTGGGTTGCCTGGTAGGGAGTGCTTTTGAATCCCTGTCAGGTGTGGCTACAGGGAGTCCCAGGCTGGAGGCATTTTTAGGTTTAAGAGCTGACATGAAGGAATGGGGATAGGCTGTAAGGGAGGTGGGACTATAAAGGTCTATAAGAGGGAGGAAAGCTGGGTTTGCCACAAGGTTTGATGGAGTTTCCAGAGAGTGGAATCAGAGAGGAAGGTCAGGCCCTTGCTGGTTGTCTGCTACAGAGCTGGGGATGAGATTGGGGAAATGGAATTGAAGGACAGGATGGAGAGTGAAGATTGCCTACTTGATTCCCAGTGGCCAGTATGTTCCCAGGTAGAGAGTGACTCTGGGTATTGGTGGCTGACACAAAGGGCTGGGCTGAAGGAAGAAGGCTGGGTCCAGAACATCTGCAGAGACCCTGGAGCATGGAGGCAGACCTGTGAGTGGTCTGTGACAGCAATGGGGATGAGACTGTGGAAGGAGACTTGGCATGCATTTGTAATCTGAAGCAGGAGGACTGTAATTTGGTGTCCAGCCTAGGCTACCTAGTCAAGTTGAAGGCTAGTCTGAACTCTACAGTAAAGTAAGACCCTGTCACAAAGTTAATGAGTGAATAAATAAATACCACTTTGTGGGCTCTGTGGTCTTTAATAGTAAAATCTAAGGTGTGTTTTATGTGTTCTTCCTAAGAGAATGCTAACATACACTGTCAATATTCTCCATGGTCTACACAGGTATTAACCTGGTGGCATTTATCATCATCGTGTTCTCCTATGGCAGCATGTTTTACAGTGTTCATCAGAGTACCATAACAGCAGCTGAGATACAGAAGCAAGTGAAAAGGGAGATGATCCTCGCCAAGCGCTTTTTCTTGATTGTGTTTACTGACGCACTGTGCTGGATTCCCATTTTTATTCTGAAATTTCTTTCACTGCTTCAGGTGGATATACCAGGTACAAGCTTTTTCTGGGAAGAATAAATCTGCGCAGTGTTGTTCTAAGAAAGATAACACTCTTAACACTAACTTGTTTCAAGAATTACTGGTCAGAGTAATGCAGACTCTGGCTCCATCATCAAGGAAATGCTTACTGAGAGGAACTGTTCGTTTCTTTCTATGAATGCTTAGTGCCACAAAAACCAAAGGACAATGGCCAAAATAAATGGTATGCAGTGCTGAGATTGGTTGCCTGCCTAAGATAACCATGAAGAAAAATAAGCTGAAGTAGTTACCAAATCTTGAATTCATTTTATTTTAGAACATAAGAAATGTTCCTCCCTACAATACATCTGATAGAGAACACTGCACCAGAGCATGACATAATAGAAAACAACACCAAGTTTTAAAATAATGCACATCCCATGCATGACAGTGGCTGTTACATTGACAGAAAGACAATATGTTGGTGAGGAGAAATTTGACACTTTGTGCATTGATAGCAGGACTTGAATACAGTGTAGCTCCAGTGAAAAAGTATGCCAGCAAGTGCAAAATATTAGACTTAGAACTACCATACGGTCCAGCCATCACACTTCTGAATAAATGTCGAAGAGAATTGGAAGCCCAAACTAAAATAGAAAACTACACAGCTATGTTCACAGCCGCATTAGTCACAATAGCTAAAAGGGAGAAGCAACACTGTCTACAGATACCTGGAAGTATCAGAAACACACGTGGGTCATTATTCAGCTTTATAAAGAAAGGAAGTTTTTAAATTTTCTTTTCCATTTATGTCGTGTGTGTGTGTGTGTGTGTGTGTGTGTGTGTGTGTGTGTGTGTGTGTCCACATGTGCAATGACACACACGTGGAAGTCAGGGGACAATCTTCTGGCGTTAATTCTTCCCTTTTGCCATGCTGTCAGGCTTGGTAGCGAGAACCTCTACCCAGTGAGCCTTCTCATCATCCCTCAGAAGGAAATTCTGGCACATGCTGTGCGATATGTGAATCTGGAAGGTGTTATGTTGAGTAAATATCCCTGACACAAAAGGTGCTTGTGTTTTTACAATTCATCTTACACAAGACTCTTAGAATAGTCAACTTCATAGACAGAGAGTAGGGGCTGGAAAGGGGAGCATGGGAGGTTGTCACAAGAAGATGAGAACTCTGAGGCTGTCAGCGGTGAAGGATGCTCAACAATGTAGCTCTACTTAGTGCCACAGAGCTGCACATTTTAAAAAATGGTTAAAGTGCACATTTTATGTCACACATATTTTATCACAAAAATATGCAAGTGTCCCCTGCTGACTGCATATGTAGTGCAGCATACATTCACATTTTTTATATTTAAATATATGTAATTTAATTTTGCTTGATCCCACAGGTGATGATAATAGAATCTGACAGGTTATGAAAGATCAGAAGGACAATAGCATCAATTACATCATAACAAAAACCTGAGTATTTGGTAGTTCTGTATATGCAAAAGGTGATTTTTAAGACAGATTTAGAGCGTTGTAGAGGTGCTCAGCCAGCAGTAAGAGCCTTTACTGTTCTCCAGGGGATGGGAGTTAAGTTCCCAGTGCCCACAGTGGGAGGCTTACAACCACCTGTAATCCCAACTCCCATGTATCTGATACTCTTCCAACCTCCTTGGGTACCCACACACATATGAGATACCCACCAACAGACACAAACATGTACAACTTAAAATTAATCTTCAAAAACACATGGATTTAGTAAAATATGTTTGGGTATTTTGTTTTTGTTTTGTTCTGCGTTACTTTAGGTTTGGGGGGGGTTGTTTGTTTGTGGTACTAGGACCTGAACCCAGGGCCTCACACTAGGCAGGAACTCTACCACAGAATTACATCCCTAGACCTTTCTTCCCACTTTTTATTTTGAGGCACAGTCTTACTAAGTTGCCTCATTCTTCCATAGGCCAGAATGGCCATGTACTTGAGATCCTCTTGTCTCAGCTTTTATTAGTTGGGCACCACGATCTACTCAAAGACATTTCACTGAAATAAATATTTGGTTAAGAGCTTAAAAATGTTGCAGGCTGGGGAGATGGCTTGGTTAAAAGTTACTTACTTGCCACTCAAAAAGGAGCATGGGTTCCCCAGTAACCACATAAAAATCGAAGTGTGTAGTAGCACATCTGAAACCCAGTGTGCTGGGAGGAGGCAAAGATAAGGGTATCACAGGAGCTCAATGGCAACCAGCTAAGCTCATTAGGTAACATTTTGTGACAGGTCCTGTCACAAAAAATAATGTGAAGAACAATAACCTGATATTGACCTCTGGCTTCCACATGCATGAGCACACATGTGTACATATACTTGCATCATACACACACACACACACACACACACACACACACACACACATACACTGCATATGTGTGCTAGCCTTAAAATGTGTGCCTATTTTTAAAATAAAATCACAAGGCCTGAGAGCAGTTGAGCACTTGCCTAGGGGTACAATCCCTAGCAGGGCCACAAAGGAAAGCAGAAGAAAACCAAATAAATTGCAAAAAATAAATTCATTCAAAATAAATCTACATATTGTGAGAAATACTACATGTACTTCCTATTAATTAAAACATGTGCACTGGGCAGTGGCAGCACACAGCTTTAATCTCAGCACTTGGGAGGCAAAGGCAAGTGGATCTTTGTGAGTTTGAATCCAGCCTGGTCCACAGAGTGAGTTCCAGGACAGGTTCCAAAGCTACCTACGGAGAAACCCTGTCTCGAAAAAGAAAAAGATATTTGCAAAGGATGATAAATGTTAAACACATTTTTTTCTTTAAATGGATTTATAAAGACACATCATGACTATGTGTAAATGCTCTTTTGTTAGCACTCCAATGTATTCAGGAAATCCACTTAGAAAGAGTCCTGTGCCTTCACAGCACTGACATTCCTTTAAACACTGACACTACTGAAAGACATCCTGAGAATCCTAGAGACCTGGTGTTTAATGTCACATCAAAGATGGGGGGCTCAAGATGAAAGATACAAGAGATGCCTTCTACATCTACTAACACTCAGATTTTTTACTTTGTCTCTTCCAGATACTATCACCTCTTGGGTGGTGATTTTTATTCTGCCTATCAACAGTGCTTTGAACCCGATTATCTATACTTTGACCACCAGACCTTTCAAGGAAATGATCCATCAGCTCTGGTACAACTATAGACAAAGAAGGTCTGTTGATAGAAAAGGGACTCCAAAGGCATATGCTCCGTCATTCATCTGGGCAGAAATGTGGCCCTTGCAAGAGATGCCCACTGAGTTCATGAAGCCAGTGGTTTTCACAGACCCCTGTGATCTGTCACTAGTTTCTCAGTCATCTAGACTCAATTCTTACTCATAAATGACTTTGGAAAACATTGATTCTCGGAGAACTCTGTGAAGAGCTTCTAGAGGGATTTGCTGATAGGAAGTAAATGCCACAAAATGTTTAACTTATGGCTAAGACAAGTTCACTTATAGTGACACAAGGCTGGGGAAAGGTAGCTGGTGTTCATACAAAGAGAAGTGATTACACTGACAATGTGTGCATGCATATTAGTACATATTTGCATAGGAAATGAAGGAAATCTATTCTAGCATGCATTTACGCACACTGCATGGAGATTAAATGCTGGACACACACAATATAAAGCCTTTTAAATCTTCATAATGTGTTTAACGACTAAACACAAATTCTACCCACAGCTCCTAGATTCCTCTGTTGTGCATATCAGCAAACATAAGACCCATACACATTTTAAAATTAAGGTCTAAAGTTTTATGATACTCAAAGATAACTGCGTCAGGTAAAATGTGTGAAGCCCATGAGATGCTCAGCAGATAAAAGTGATTACTATACAAGCATGCTGGCCTGAGATCAATATCTGGATCCCATGAAAAGGTGGAAGGAGAGAAGATTCTGGGAAATTGTCCTTTGACCCCCCCACTTGTGTGACATGGCATGTGTGTCCACACATGTATATCACACACACAAAAAAAATTAAATATGGTTGCATGCAAAATAGAAACATTCTGCTTAAAAAAATCCTCGGTATTCTTCAAGTCTTCACACTTTACAGTCAACACAATGCAATGTATTTATTAAAAGAAAGCTTTGCTGCCAGGTGTGGTAGACAAACCTGCAGTCCTAACATTAGAGGGGAAGAAGCGAAAGGAGCACAAGTTCAAGGCCAGCCTTAGCAACCCAGAAAGAACCTGCCTCTAACATGCAAAAGTAGAGCTTGGGATATGGCTCAATTGCTAAATTGCTTGCTACCACACACACACACACACACACACACACACACACACACACACACACACACACGGGGACCTGAGTTTAAATTCCTGTCACCCACATAAAAAAGCTAGGTGTGGTAGAACATATCTGTAATCTCAGTGCTGGAGAGGCAGAGACTGGAGGATCCCTAAGGCTTGTTAACCAGCTATTGGGAAGACATCCAATGTCAACTTCTGACTTGCACACACATGTATGCTCAGCCAAATACACAACAGACACACACAGAGATAAAGGAGGGGGGTAAACTTTTTATAAACTCAGAAAAAGCATTTTTTGTCACTCTCTACCCAGTTTTCTTTTGCCTTTGCCTGAACATCACCATGAGGAAACAGAACAGGACAGTAGGTAGGGATATTGTAAAGGGGTAAGCCAGAAAAGGGAGAATAAGGGCGTTTGAATCAATGAAATTCCAATTCAGAATCCAGAAATAAACCTTCATGCTTCAACAAACTGATTATTTAAAAGGGTAACAAGACACATGTAACCTAATAAAATTAAATCAAGAGGATATAAACAACTCATATCCACAACCAGAAAACAAAACTCTAAAGAAAAATTAACACCAATGTTTCTCAAACTGTCCCTCAGATGGAAAGTTTAGGAACCACCAGCAAACTCACTGTATGAACCCAGCCCAGCCCTGATCAAAACCAGAAAGCAGCACAACAAAAGAATAAAAACTATTCACCAATTTCCTGGCAAACATAGATGTAAAGATTCTCAATAAGCACCCGCAAATCAAAGAACAGATTGGGAAAAATCACACACCACGATCAAGTTTGTTTCATCCAGGTTTGTTGGTATAATACACACAAATCAATAAATCTAATACAACACAAAAGTATAAAAGGATAGAGCTCTTATGATTTACTCAAGACACACACACAAAAAAAGGCCTTTGGCAAAATTCAACATCCTTCATGATAAAAGCCCTATAGAATCTAAGACTAGAAGGGACAAATGCCAGCATAACAAAGGTTTTATGAAACAAAGCTATAGCTGACTAAACTAGATGGGAAGTAAATGAAGGCATTTCCTCTAAAGTGGGGAATGAGGTAAGAGTGCCAATCACGGGCCCCACAAGAGTCACCGGAGGCAGGAAAACCATCTGCCTGAGGGATGAAACTCAGCACCAAGTTTGCAGGTGCTGGGCCAGAACTCCCAGAGTCTGATTTCATTTATTTTTTCTTATACATTTAAGCACAGTAAAACTTTGGTGGAGGATCATAAAGATGGGTTCTGGTCTCTGAGAGACAAAGCTCAGGATTAGAGCCTAAATGATGCCCAGGATTTGGGGTACGGTGGGGGTGGGGGATTCAGGAAGACTGGTTTCATAGAATAGCAAAAATATCACAGGCTGTCAAGACAACATTCACTCCAGCCTCCCAGTGACCAAGGATCAGTAATTTTTTTTTCCTTTGAAGAAAATAGGCCCCTGTTTTTAATAGTTCTGGTTCCTCCAATGCCTTCTTTAAGCTGTGCTTCCTGCACGTGCCCACTTAAATAATTCTTATTCAATATACTGTTCAAAGTCTTAGTTTGAAAAAGAATAAAAAGAAACAGAATGGACACAAATATGACAAAGAGAAATTAATATGTACTTACTGTAGACAACCCACACTAACATTTCAAAGACCCTAAATATTCCATCAGAAATCTAGATCTCCAAGTTTCCTGTATAGTATTCCTAAAAGTAGAACTACCATGTGGCCTAGTTAATCAATTCATGGGTGTATACCTGAAGTATTCTGTGCTAATACTGTTCCCAAGAAAAGGAAAAGGGAAAAAAAGAGAAAGAGCCTAGATGTTCACTGAAAGAAAAAAATAATAATAATTTACATATTTACAAAAATTCAGTAGCCTTCCTATATATCTGTAAGAACTTCATTTGAATTGAAGCAAGTTCATTGTGGGTATATAGAAATACTACTGGTCTTGCGTTTGTTTTGCATTCTATTTGTTAACATGGCAATTTCTAGTTACATCCATTTTTCTGAAAATGTCATTTTCGTTTCCTTGATGACTGAATAAAGTTCCATTATGCATATGTTAAATGAAATAAGCCAGACTCAAAAGGAAAATAGTATGTTTTCTCTCATATGAGTATGCGAGTGTATAAGTGTATGTGAAATGAAACCACAAAAGGAAGAAATGAGAAGGAAGAAGTATTGAGTGAGGGACAGGAAAGAGAGTTGGGAAGAGGTAGTTTTTGTGTGGAGTTATGGGCACAAAGGTCGGGAGTGTGGAGAAGAGAAAACAGTGTTCATGTGTATGAAAACATCATCTAACCTCATTATTTTGCATGTTAATGTAGAAATAACTTCCAAAACTTTTAGAAGAAAACACAGGGATAATTTTTTTGGGATTTGGGTTTTATGAGGGATTCTCAGTGATGGAAAAATGATAACAAAAGGGGAACAATGACTTCATCTAAACTCAAACCTTTGGGCATAAAGGAGGTAAACTGGGTTGGGAGAAGGACTAACCCTTGCTACTTTTCCAGAGGATGCAAATATCACTCATTGGTCAGCTCACAACCACCTGTAAGTCCAGATCCAGAGGGTCTGGCACTCTCTTCTGGCTTCCTTGGACACTGCACTTACTCATATGCACACACACACACACACACAAAATGGCAACCACTGTGGGAAAATTTGGCCTTTCCTCAAGACACAAATTTAAAATAAAGTACCATATGACCTGGCCATTTCACTATATGATACAAACAAATATTTACGCACAATTCAAAGGCTGACAGAACTCTCTTGAGGCCCTTTTCCTCTAGTTGGCCTTCTGTTTGGATGAAATTCACCACCTCAGCTTGAATATAATTTTCTTAATCCTTAAAAACTTATTTCATCCTGGTATATTCCTGTCATATGAGCACTTGGGAGGCAGAAGCAGGATTAGGAGTCCAGGAGTCCATGACCAGCCATAGATACAGAATTTGAAGCTACCCTGGGATGCATGAGTTCTAAAAAACAAATAAAAACAATTAAGTTCAAGGGCTGGGGTGAGTAACATACAAAGTCCCTAGGTTTGATCCCTGCTTCACACATGTACGTACACACACACACACACACACACACACACACACACACACACACGAATACACCTTATCCATACTCTCACTGAAAAAACCAGAATATTGGACCAACTACCTGGGCACCTGTAGCACCACCGCACATGAAGAGAGTACAAGGACAGACCTGAACTTTAATGTCTCTGGAAGCTTCTAGATTATCAAGGTGCAGTACGGATATTGAGGGTTTTAAGATTTCTGGGCAACAGTGTTCACCCTGAATGTGTCTATGTGCACCACCTTCATCCCTAGTGCCCAAAGAAGTCAGAAGAGGGTGTCAGGTCATCTGGAACCAAGCCAGCATGGGGATGCCAGTACCAAACTTGGATCCTCTGCAAGAGCAGCAAGTGTTCTTAACCACTGAGCCATCTCTCCAGCCCTGGGAAATGGTTTTAACCTCAGCTTCCATTTCCTGCTCTGAGAACAGATTATCACTGTCCTCAGAGCAGATGAGTTTACATAACATAATGTTCCAAAGTCCTAACACAGTGCCTGATACATGGTTCATGTCACATCAATGAGAATATTCAGTTTTCCTCTGAAATTTGTAATGAGCTACTTGCCGAGTCAAAAATTAACTTAGGGTCTATAAGAAAATGATTCTCCCCAAGCTTTCTCACAAAATAAAGCAAAAATTATACAAAAGGGGATAAGTTTTAGTTCCAGCACTTGGGAAAGGAATTCAAGTCAAGGTAGGAGGAATTCAAGGTCATTTTTTGGCTTTGTAACAACTTCAAGTTCAATCTAGGCTAATTTTAAGACTTTGTCTCAGAAAACAAAATACCTGTAAGTATGGTGTCTGGGTTAGGGTTTCTATTGCTGTGATGAAACACCATGACCAAAAAGCGAGTTGGGGAGGAAAGGATTTATTTGACTTACACTTCTATATCACTGTTCATCACTGAAGGAAGTCAGGACAGGACCTTAATTAAACAGGGCAGAAACCTGGAGGCAGGAGCTGAAGCAGAGGCCATGGAGGGGAGCTGCTTACTGGCTTGCTCAGTTTACCCTCTTATAGAACACAGGATTAGGGATGGCCCTCCCCCATCAATTGCTAATTAAGAAAATGCCTTACAGCTAAATTTTCTCAATTGACATAAGACCAGCCAGCACATATGGAAAAATATAAAAACACAAATTGAGGGCCCAAAAAGTGCTTGCTTAGCACACATAATGCACTGGGCTCAGGCCTCAGCACAATTTGGGGAAGCAGGGGATACAAATCAACAATTATTTAAAACCATATAATCACAAATTAACAAAAAGTGAACACTGAAACAGATAAAAATATATATATAATAAATGTAAATACTAACTCCGCCTGGTAGGAATACATAAGAATTATTTAAATCATTCACCTTTTTTGTATGGTTGAACTACCTCATATATTCTTAAATAATGACCAAAGAAACAGAAATTTATTTGAAATGCATTTATTTTTATATACTTTCAAATTGCAATTCTCAGAATATATAAATATTTCTCTCATACATGAATAATACGCATCTCTTTGGTAAAAAATTACACCATACATGTTGTGTGATCTTAACTAAAAAGAATTTTTAAAAAAATTAACTATGACTATGTTGAAACTAGTCTTTGCCCATCCATTTGTCCCCTATCACAGCTCCACTGTGAGACTTAATAAAATTCTGTTTACATCACGTTACCTACACAGACATCACATCAAAGATACTTAAAGGTCATATGTATCAAGTTAGTACATGACTTGATGGCACAAATTACATAAAATACAGCACAGGTAAATTAGAACCCTAACAGTAAGGTCAACTGATAAGAACCCCATTGAAACAGTTAAATTTGACACACTGGAAACAAACTAACTTTAGAACAATATAAATAACTTGCAAAGCTCCATTAGTGCCAGGTAACCATAAATTTGATAAGGTATTTCAAAGACAGCAATCAAGCATATAGACCACTAACACGAGAGATATTAACTATGAAAGCAACTAACTATAAAAGTAGACAAAAGTATGTATTCTATAAAAGTTTCCACTTTATGAAGTAAAAGCTTTTTAAAAATGGGATTGCAGAATGGGAAAATAATTTTTTAAAGTCATCATTAAGATTGGAAACCCTAGACTGGGTATGTTGTTGCACACCAGTAGTCCTGCTATCAAAGAGACTAAGCCTGGGCTTCACAGCGAGATTGTCTCAAGACAGAAAAAAAAAAAAAAACCCTCAAATTCCCATAAAAATAGAATACTTTTCCTTCAAGCCAATGAAGTCTAGGTTCATACAGTTTTCTTAGAGAAACAATTATTTCTCATCCCCAGAAAATAGGAAGCAAACATAGCTTCTAATTACATTCATCAAGTCTTAGTCCCAGACATGAGTGTTTCGTGACATGGCTTTTGGGTGCTGAGATAAGGAAGTAAATAAAGCGTCATCACTGGCTTCAGAGTAGGTATCCTAGAGCTGGACCCACCACCTGAAGTCATCAACTGCCTTAGGGAACAAACCAAGATCAACTCCAAACTCAGCTAACTTTGGCGTCTTCTCAAATACCAAGTAATGATTTGGTTGCACCAAGGCACTAATAAAATCCATTACTTACTGATGGAATTAGCTTCCATAAAGGAATCTACAAAAGTGTAGAGGGCAGAAAGTATGTAAGGTAAACACTGTCATAACAGAGAAAAGAAACAAACAAGCCTTCAGTATTTTGCTCTCTCCGAAGTCAAAAATATCAAGAAAAACTTCACTCTCAGTCTAAATGTCTGGAGACAGGCAGCCCCATAAATGTGGTCCATGTGCAAATATCTTATGTGTGAGTCATTAACCGACAACATCTGTGAGTCAGTTGTCGGGTTTCAAGGAATCATAGCCTTCTTTCAGGAGGTCCCGCCACGTCTTAAGGAAACGTGCATTTTCTGTACACTTCAGGGCAAGCTCTTCCACCTGAGCCGATACCGCAGATGTGGCTTCAAGAAGTTTAGTTAATGAAAATGCCGCCTGCAATTTAAAGAAAGGAAAGTCAAATGGGTTCGTTTGTGGTCTTAGGGACAAAACCCAGGGCCTCCACCACAGAGCTACACCCTAAGTCCCACACATGCTTACTTTTTAAATTCTCATCTAATTTAGATGAGAAGTTTAACTTTTCATCGTCTAAAAATAGCTTTGCTTCTTTCTTGAACCCAAACCTTCAGAGCAAGCACATAGCTCTACCCCTGAGCTACACTCACAGCCTCTATTTTTTTTCATTATGTAACTTGAGACATATCTGCCACAAAAATACTCATTACACGTGACACATGACAAGTCATTATTTTTAAAGGAAAACACACCCAACTCTTATGTACTTCACCAAGGCAACTTGGAAACCCCTTGACTAGAGGTGACAACCATCTAAAGGACTTCCTTACAAACCACTCTTGCTGATAACTAGGTAACAAAAGTTCTGTTCCGGTGTTTTTTAACCTTTAACACTTTTTTTGAACTACAAAAAAAAAAGAAGAAGAAGAAGTGAAATCGAAGACCTGAGACTCTGAAAAGACAGAACATCTAAAATTACACACACAGCTATGAAAAACTCACTTTTAAATCAAATGGTTTCTTCACGAGAGATACAAAATAGCACTTTGGATATGACATCGGTACTTAGCCAACACATTTATTTGTAACCAGTATTGTTTTGGAAAAACAATAACCCCTGGAGCAGCACTTCAGTCATCTCTTAAAAATAAAAAAAGGACAACAAAAATTTGTCCCTCGGTTTCCAGTTTCCGATCTTCGCAGGGCTGTGTCATTCCACAATGCTCTCCCAGGATGGTTACCTGCTATCCTCTCAAGAGTCTCTAGAAAGTGAAACTGACACCCTCCAACCCCCAACCCCCTCAATGGTACATGTGTTGAGGTCGGGTGGAGATTTCTGATAATTCGAGATTAAACAAAAAACTTTACAAAATGTTTGCATTGTAGGAATCAGTGAAACGTCCTGTCTAATCCATCAGGGAAGCCGATGACCTCACCGGCCGGCTGCGATTAGCCCTGGTCCACCCAAATCCAACCCAGAATAAGTATGCGACACACAATGGTATCAAGAGCCGGCTCTGGGCTGGTGGTCAACGAGGAGAGAAAGCTCAAGTCCCTCGGAAAGTACCAATGGGCAGGCAGAGATGCTATGACCGCCCAAAGCACTCTGAGAGATGCAAGGAGGCGGAGGGCGGATTCCGATTGCTGTGCTGCGGGTGACAGCAGCGGGAGAAGGGGGGAGAAAGGCGCGCGCCGAGAGAGCAGAGGCCAGCCCTCAACACTCTGGCCAAGAACCGCTGGCAGGAGCACCCGAGCTGCAAGCGGCAACCCGGCTCTAGCGACACTCACGTCTCCGATCTGCAGCTCCACTTGCTCCAGAGGGTCCACCGATGGGGCGTGGCTTCGCCTGGGACTTCGCCAGCCCAAACTCACTGGCATGCTGAGTGACGACGAAGAGGCGCCTGAAGACGGAGACGAGGGAGGAGGCGGCGGCGGCGAAGCCCGAAACTCCTCCGGGTCAGCCATGGAGCTGGGCCGGGGCGGCCGGGCCGGACCAGGCAACGGAACCCACACCAACTGCCTTTCAACAGCTCGCGCCCAAAGCCCACAGGCTCCGCCTCCTCCCCCCACCGGGTCCCGCCCCATCTTCTCGTAGGTGTCAACCGGGACCACAAGGAGGTTTCATTTTTTCGAGACAGCCAATCAGATGTGAAGTCAGTCGTCACCCCGCTCCTGCGCACACCTTCCGGTCGGCTGGAAGGACGCTGGAGCTGAACACTACAACTCCCAGAATGCCCAGCGAATTGTCCCGCTATGCTGCCAACGCGCGTGCGCGAATCTGGGGGCGGGGCTTGTAGGCCTCTTCCGCACACTCGGTTCCTGGATGAGGAGGATGCCTGGGAGATGGAGTCTTCTGCCTTTTTCTAGCTGGTACGTGACCCGGAAACCTTATTGGCCGTCGCGTCCTCTGTGGCGCCGGCGCAAAGCAGAAGAGGGGCGGGCACGCCGCGGAACAAGGGCGGTCAGCACAGCCCAGAGACTGACTTCAGCGGCGCAGCCGGGGCTTCTTGGCAGGTGATGGCGCCCCCCGTGGCCTGAAAGTCCAGCGCTCTCGGCAAGCCGCAGACAGGCCTCTCTCCGTGTGTCTTTGTCAAGTCTACGGGCTACTTTGAACATGTTGGTGCGGCTAGCCAAGCTGTCCTGCCCTGGTGAGACAGAACTGGTGGGGACAGAGAGCAAGATGGATAAGTTGGGGCAAAGCAGAATAGAATGGGCCACACTTGGGGTACTGCAAGCACCTCTCTCCTCTGCTTCTTGGGCTAAACTAGGGCAGAGATCAATGCTATCAGCGCCTGTTGGTGGACCCTGACTTCCCGTCCTTGACGTCGCCCCAGTTGGCAAAATTAGCATCTAGGTTAAAGGTCACGAGTGGAGGAAAATTGTCAACACTCCACTCCTGGGTGGAGTCCTCCCAAATCCCGGTCCTGATCTTTATCCTAAAGCTCAGGTAGTGTCTGCTGCTTCATAGGAATGGGAAAGAAAGGAAAACTTGTGTGGTAGTATCTGCTGCTTTATAGGAATGGGAAAGAAAGGAAAACTTGTGTGGTGGGATTTCTCTGACCTGACTTTCATCTTTGTAGCCGTTCTAGTCCAGTCTTAATGTGAAGTCTGAGCTGTCATATCGTGTTAACTCATGTGTTGCCGGTGTCACCAATTATGTTTGGAGCTCCAAAGTTTTCTGTATTATTCTCAGTTAACTCTGGACTCTTCTGTTACGGGTGCTTCTTAAAGCGGTTAAACAATATTTTTTTCACTTTTACTTAAAAACAACCCCTAGTTCAAACAGAAGTTTAGAGGCTCTTGAATTCTGTTGTAACTGGCCTAATATAAATCTTTACTGAATTAATATTTGGCTGTGTTATTTTTGAACAAGTATACACATTGTAAATTCAAACCAAGCATCTGTTATTACACATAGGATATGTTCTGTTTTGAGGGCTGTCAATGTATCACATGCTGTCTTTTGTATGTTTTTGCTTTTAGAGACTGGGTTTCTCTGTAGCTTTGGAGCCTGTCCTGAAACTCGCTCAGTAGACCAGGCTGGCCTGGAACTCACAGAGATCCTCCTGTCTCTACCTCCCTAGTGCCAGAGCCACCTACAGCCTAATTTAAATGCAGTCTTGAGTCCAGTAAATGACTTGTCTTTGGATGCTAATTTGTTACATTTTCTTAACTCAGTGTTAGCACTAGTGATAACCAAGTGGACGTATGTAATGTGTATGACTGATTGCTTGCAGTGGACCTTGACTTTGCTTCTCTACCACATTTTAGTCTCTATGCCTAAATGTTCAGATGCCTCGCCAGGCTTGTTTTAGCAAAGGAGAAAAGGTTATGCCTTTTTTAAAATTCCTTGGTGGAAATCAGAGGTCATGGTTCCATCTGTTCTCAAGCAAATTAGTAGCTGTACAAATAATAGAATTAAAGTAAGTTATATTCCACTCATTAATTTTCAGAAATAAATGATAACTTGTATATGCTAAACTATAGTATAATACTTTTTAAATGGTAGTATGTTTGAACTCAAACTAAATTTGTATGTAATATTTATAAATATCTTTTTTCCAAGATTTAGAGTAAATAAAGACTTAATCTTAGCCTTAAAGTATCCCCAGTATTTTTTATTTATTTATTTATTTATTTATTTATTTTGGTTTTTCAAGATAGTATGCCTCTGTGTAGCTCTGACTGCCCTGCAGCCCACTCTATAAATCTCAGGCTGGCCTCAAGCTCACAGAGATGAACCTGTCTCTGCCTCCCAAGTGCTAGGATTAAAGGCATGTGCTGCCGCCACCCCCCAAAAATTGTAATTTTTAGAGTGCATTACAAGCTGAGAAAATTGGTTTCCCTACCACTTTAAAATTATCAAGAGCAAATATATAGTATTTACAAGGTATTAGACTTCTCCCCCAGATATTTTCTCCTGCTTCACTCATCATAACATTTATGGTCTTGATGCCAAGCATTACTTTAAAAACTATTTTGTTGAAAAATATTAAAAAATTATTAACCATGCAATTGATGCTAAAAATAAAATTGGTTTGTGTCAGGTTGATTTTTATTTAAACATGCCTTCTTTCTATTTAATTAGAAGAAAAGAAAAATTTACCGGAGCTTCAGGTTCCATGACTTCAGAGATAACTTCAGATCAACTACTAGTCTCAGAGTTTAGCAGGTATTAGAAGAGACTATCTGAATTTCTGTTTATCTGCTGTAAATAGGGATTGTAGCTACTCCATATATCACCGAAATTTATGGGGGAAAAGATAAGATAGTTTTGTTTGGGTTCTCATGTATCACAGGTAGGTTATATAGCCAAGGATGACCTTGAATTTCTGCTCCTCCCTGTGTGTATCACCACACCTGGTTTATGTGATACTGGGGATCCAACTAGACAAGCACTCGACAAGCACTCTATCAACTGAGCCACATCCCCACCAAGACATAGTATCAAAATGCAAAGTTCTTAAGCATTCATTGTGTCCTAGAAAGTATAGACTAAATGGTCAAAATGAAATTCTTTGTTTGTCTTTACTATTTACTTTTTATAGTCCATATATAAAAGTTTCTTCATGTGTAGATGCTTCATAAGTTACAGTCCAAGTTATAAAGGGCCATAATTTACTATTATGCCAGATATTAAACACTTCTCAGGCTTCTATATATGTAACCATTGAAATTATTACTAGGAAAGTCCCAATCCAGTTAGCAAACAGGTATTTTTTTTTTTTTTTTTTTTTTTGAAATGAGTCTCTCTACGTAGTCATAGCTGGACTGGAACTCTCTCTATGTAGAGCAGCTGGACTGATAGTCACAGAGATCCACCCACCTCTGCCTCCAAATACTGGGATTAAAGACATGTGCTGCCTTGCCCATCTGAATAGTTGGAGCTCCTTTTTGTTTGTTTGTTTTTGTTTTGTCGAAACAGGGTTTTGCTGTGTAGCTCTAGCTGTCCTGGAGCTAGTTCTATAGACTGGCTCTGCCTCCCAAGTGCTGGGATTAAAGGCAAGTGCCACCACCACCCCACTAGTTGTAGCTTTTGTATTTCAGTCTTCGATCTACTTTTTGTTTTCACTATATTCTTTATTTAATTTTTTATGTTGAACTTGATATAGGTTTTCATATGAGTTGTAAAGCAGAGTTCTCGAGATTAGCAGCTTACATAATCATGGTGAATATCAAGACTAAGAAATTAACATTGATGAACTGTTATTACAGAACAAGGTTATTCAGATTCCCATTTTCTGGTTCAGGATCTAGTTCATGTTGCTTTTACCTAGCTTACCCTCATCTATTTTAAGGAGGCAGTCCATCTGCTTGTCTTTTGTGACCTTGATGCTTTTATTGAATGTTTGGTGGTTTCTCATGACTTCCTGAGTAGACTAAAGTATAAGGATTTTGAGGGTATGTACCACACAGGTAAAGAATCTTTCTCATTATATCATATCAATGGCATGCGATATCAGTATGTTGCAGGTCATATTTAATTCAATTTATACTTACTCTATTTTCCTAGTATAAATTTTGGGTTTTTTTTTTTTCCTTTTTTAATCTTATACATATTAGAAACTAGTTAAGTCCAGTCCTCACTCAAAAGGGGAAGAACCAAAAAAATTATGGGTATATCACTGTCTTTAGTACTGAGTTCCTCCGTAAAAATGTTTGATTATACAGCTTGGTATAATGCTGTACACCCTTAATCTCAGCCCTTGGAAGGCAGAGGCAGGTGGATCTCTGTAGTACAAACCCAGTATCATCTACATAACAATTTCCATACCATCCTGGGCTATGTAATGAGACCATGTCTCCAAACAAACATAAACACACACACACACCACCGAATGGAATTGATAAAGAACAGGGTATACATTTTTCCCAAATGTTTTTCTGTTTTTGTGCCATTTAATGAGTAACCATCTCCCCTGTATGTATTCGATCTCTGAGCCATTCATTTTATTACACTATTTCTTACTTGTTTTAAAAGATTTGAAAATTTTGCATCATGACCAAAAGCTAGCTGTATAATTGATCTAAGAAAGTGCATACTCCATTTCCATTTGCATCATTCTGCTTACAGACTTTTCATCATATAAGAGATAAAAACTAATTTTTAAAATAATATTGGTCATAATTTTTATGCAGTGTATCAGTGCTTTCATGCCTTAAAAATTAAGAAAAAGTGCCTACCTCTGTGTGCTACAAGATGGTCTTCAACTTCTGTTGTACCTCAAATTACTACCCACTACACTGTTCATCCCCGGGAAAAAGACAAAAGATGGGAAGGTATGTAATAATTTTCATAAAATTCTTAACTTTCCTAGATACTTCGTATTGTCTTGTTCGTATGAATATTTCATTTTTCATATAATTTAAAAGCATTAAATATATCTCACAACCTTATCAAATGTGTTACATATTACTATTTAGCTAAGTTAAAAAAGCTTGTTATTATTATTAATTTGATTCTTCATGTAGTGGCCTGGCCTTGAACTTCTGATTCTTTTGCTCTTACCTCCCAAGTATTAAGAATATGCACCACTATGCCTTACAAATTTATACTTTTTAAACAAATCTTTTTTTTTTTAATGTGCATTGGTGTTTTTCCATGGGTGTCCAGGCCCCTAGAACTGGAGTTACAGACAGTTGTAAGCTGCCATGTGGTGCTGGAAATTGAACCCAGGTCCTCTGGAAGAACAGCCAGTGCTCTTA